GGTTGATGATTCTCCAAGACTGAGTAGGTGGGAGATTACTGATGAGCTCAAAGAGGCTTTGTAAGTGGTGGAAGTTGTCTGTATCTTGATTAGTGAAATGGTAACATGGATGTATATACATTTGTCAAACTCATTGAACTTTTCAAGTCTTCTTCATGTCCTATTGATTATTCCTTAATATAGTGATTTTTTTGAAAAAGATTTTTTTTCTATTACTTGTGTGTATAGGTGTGTGTAATGTGTACATGTGTGTTCAGGTACCCACAGAGGCCAGAGGGCTGTTCTATTTTATGAGCTGCCTGTCAGGGGTGCTGGAAATTGCAGCAAGCACTGTTCACCACCACTGAGCCATCTCTTCAGCTCTAACATGGTTGATTGAAAAAAGAAATTAGTCATGGTGGTGCATGCTTTTAAATTCCAGCACTCAGGAAGCAAAGGCAGGAGGATCTTTGTGAGTTCAAGGCCAGTCTGGTACAGATAGTGAGTTCCAGGACACTCAGGGAGTGGATTCTCATGACCTCATTGTATGTGAGAATGAATGCTTAAATGAAACAGAAAAATACACTCTCCATGCAATTAAATTAAACAGTGGTACAAATTGGAATTTTCTGTGTTTAGGCTGTGTGGGAAGTAACCTGTGTATCTGAGTGCACAGGTATGTTGTAGTTCACTTTTAGTTCATTGCCTTTATAAACTAGGTAATCTATAAAGACAGGATTACTTGAGGTGGCACAGTCCATAAATGTGGTCCTTGCGTCTGCTAATTATTTGGTGAGGATGTCACAGTGTGATGGCTTGAACGAGATGTCCCCTTAGTCTTGGGCGTTTGAATGGATGGTCTCCAGTTGGTGCTGCTATCTGGGGACGCTTAGGTGGCAGGGCATTGCTGGAAGGAGTATGTAACTGGGGGTAGGATTTGAGGTTTAAAAACCCAGGCCTTTCCTAGTGCCCTGCTCCCTGATGATTCAAGATGTGAGCTCTTAGTTTCCACCTCCAGCAGTCATGCCTCCGCTCTGCCATCATGGACACCCCCCACTCTAACCACAAGCCCAAATAAACTCTTCTTAAGCTGACTTGGTTGTGGTGTTTTATCGCAGCCATAGAAAGGTAACTAATACACGTTAAGACAGCAAGTGTGCTAGCATAGCATATCTCTCTTCTCTTAAGGAGTCGTTGATGTGATCAGGAAAACCCCGCACTCATGACTGATGTCTCAGAACCCTGTCATCATACTGTTAGTGTGCAAATATGAAGGTTACATTTCAGCACATGGACTTTTGGTGAATGCTTTAAGCTGTAACACACAAACATATATGTAGATATATGTATGTACTTCCTATCCAGAGAATATAGGGAACTTTTACTAGCAGGGCAGAGATGTGAATATCCATGCTGGGAAGAGGATGTGCAAACAGTGAGCTCAGGAAAGGTACTCTGCAGGGCTCTTCTCAGAAGAATGCAGATTAGAGTCCTCATGCAGTACCAACCCACAGGATGGCAAAAATAGAGCACCGAGTGATGGGGAATCTGGAGCGACTGTTGTCCTCCTACGTGGAGAGGCTGCAGGTGGGAGTGTAGTTTGATAACCAGCTTGAAAAGCTGGCAGCATGCCCATGTCTTATGACTCACAGTTTCTCTAGATACTATTCTGTGGTGTGCGTATGCCTAGGTAAGTCGTCAAGGTTATCAGCTTATTTCTAAATAGCCACAGAATAGAATGTCTCTAGCTATCTATAAATAACAGAATGGTTAAATTATTTTAAAACCAAACAAGAGAATACAAAAAATGAGAAGGAACACACAATAAGTTTCACAGAATGATCATGAATGATTATAGTCAAAAAGCATAAAACTCCATGTATGTAAAATTCAAAACTAGACCAACTATAGTAGCAAATGCAGCATTTGAGAAACTGAGGCAGTAGGCTGGAGAGTTCAAGGCCATCTTGGGCTTTAAAGTAAGATGCTGCCTGCAGCCCACCAAAAAGCAAGTAGTACAAAATGATTTTTGATAGAACCAAACAGGACCGGCAAAAACAAAATTAAAAAAAAAAACAATGAAATGATTCCTAATGATGCTCTGCTATACTCATAGATCAGCACCTAGCTCGATAGTCAGCAGAGACCCACAGTCAAACATTAGGTGGAGCCCAGGGGAATCCTACAGGAGAGGAGGAGAAAGGATTATAGGAGCCAGAGGGGTTGAGGATACCACAAGAACTTGACCCACAGAATCAATTTAGCTCACAGAGACCGAAGTGACAGTCATGACCTCTGTGTGGGTCTGAGCGAGGTCTGCTATATATGTATATTATGATTGTGTAGCATGGTGTTCTTGCGGGACTCTGGGAATGGGGCGTCTCTGACTTCTACCTGTTCTTGGGGCCCTTTTCCCCCAACTTGGTCTCCTCGTCCAGCCTTAATATGTCTGGTCTTACTATAATTTGTTGTGCCATGTTTGGTTGATTGCCCTGGAGGTATTCTTTTCTGAAGTGAAATGGAACAAGGAGATGGGGTTGCCCCTGAGAGGAGTAGAGGGAGGGGAAACTGATTGGGATGTAATATATGAGAGAATTAAAAAAAAAAAAAGGAAAAAGTGATTTTTGTTAAAGTATTAGAAACCAAGATTGTGGTTACTTTTGGGGAAGGAATTGGTTCAGGACACAGCTGGACTTCCCATAGCCCACTTCTTAAGTACAACTAGTTTACTAGGATGCTTCCTTACACTCAGGGAACCTCCTGTGTTCACTTACTCAACACCAAAGTTATAGCCACGCATACCAATGAAGTTATGAGCAGGGCAAATCCTGTGGAGACAGTCTGTTGCTTCAACATGGCCATTAGACACAGCATCCTCAGGCCTCCATATGCTACCTAAAACTGTTAGATCCTTTCATGGAGTCTTACAGGTGTGAGTGAAACGTGGGAAACTATACAAATGTCATGGACACAGAGGCTGAGGTCTTAGCTCAGTTCCTGGCACACAGATAGCAAATAACAATGACTAAAAGGCTAAACCTGATCCCTTTGGGGCCAGTTTGCCTCTGTATCCCTGAAAAGCAAATGCCTATCTGTGTGGGCTGTGTTCAGTTGTAGAAGACATAAAATCCTCCCTGTGGGCCGTGAGCGCTGACATCAGTTTTGTTTCCTGTTTGTGGATTCGCTCTTCTTCCTATATGGTCTCAATTGGATTGGGCGGAGCTGTGAGTCCGTTTCATTTGAATCTTCTTGCGTAACATTGTCTGTGGTATTTCTGCTTATATATAACCACCTGAAGCAGGTTCAGTGTCTTAGAGACTAGTCAGCCTTAGAGGAGATCCATAGAAATCTGAAAAATAAGACTAAGCAGGCTTTATGGTTTTGCTTTTGTTACTGTGGACTATTATTATTATTTAAACCTAGACACAACAGCCTATCAAAAGTATGTTTTAACTTGGTGTGATGGTGCAAGCCTGTAATGCCAGCTCTTGGGAAGTCAAAGGAGGAACACCGAGCTCAAAGGTAGCCTGGGCTACATAGTGAGCCCTTCTGTTGTAAAACAAGGGCCAGTGAGATGACCTAATGAGTGAAAATACATGCTGCCAAGCCCCACCCCATAGTGTGACCCTGGTAGGAGGAGAGAACCAGCTCCTCCATGTTGTCCTCAACCACGTGTACACCATGGCATGCTCGCATGCTCCTGCTGATTGGTGCAAATGTGCACACGAAATAAATAATTCACTAACTAATTAAAAATAAGCCATAACCTCCCCTAAACTATCATTTTTTCTTTAGCTTTATCTTTTTTACAAGAAATGAAAACTATAAATATCAGTGCTTGGGATGTATCATCTCATTTAAATTTATTAAAACATCGAGCAGTAAAAAAATGAAATAACAGTAGAAAGAACTGCTTAATAAGAGCACAGCAAGATCCTCTGCCAACTATTTAGAATACTTTCAGCCATAGTTTTGTCAGAGAAAGGCACAGAGGTCCCTATTCTGAGCTAAATAAGAGATGAACCGTTGACCTAAGAGTTCCCAGGTTTTTAAGTTCTCTTCTAGTTGCATAATGCAACACTGCCTTTCCTGAATGAGAAGCATATATCTGTGCCTTAGATTTCTTGTAGGTCTTGTGTCTTCGTTGACCTATCCTGTGACTAGGATATGAACGTAAAATGCAGGATGTTGGAACTGGGAGAAGTCATTGTTGTTGCTAATAAGACCCAACCAGCTACTCACATGCTCTTGGGGCTGCTTCGGTGCTTCTCCTGACCCACCCAGTACAATTATATGTAACTTATGGGGCAAGGATTGTTAGGGTTAGATTTATTTTTCCTATGTGAATAGATCTGTCTATGCAGCTAGGTTTTTTGTTTCATGTTGCAGAGCAGCACAGATACTGAACCAACAACCAGGGAACCTGCATGGGACTAACCTAGGCCCTCTGCATGTGTGTTACAGTGTGAACTTGGTCTTCTGTGGGAGTCCCAACAGTGGAAACAGAGGCTGTCTCACTCTTTTGCCAGCTTCTGGAACCCCCTTCCTCATACTGGGTCACCTTGCCCAGCCTTAATATGAGGGGAGGTGCTTGGTCTACTGCAACTTGATATGCCACGATTGGTTGATATCCATGGGGGGCCTGTTCTTTTCTGAAGGGAAACGGGGGTGGGGAGCTAGGAGGGGAGGAAGGAGAAACTGCAGTAGGGATGTAAATAATGATAATAAATCATTTAAAAATCATAACTTCATCTTAAACTGTATGTACACACAGTTATTCATTTTCATTATATTTACTTATATACAAAATGTTTTGGGAAAATAAGAATGCAGAGTAATTCAGTTTTACTCCGTGAACTGTGTTTTAGCTAGTGCCAAGTAAAAGCAGATTTATGTAAAAATTGGGGTGGCCATGTTTAATGAGAGTCACCCTGGAGGCTGCCACTTGTCTGTAGAGTAAAGAGGTTTTCAAGTCTGGGATTTTCAAAACTCCACGTCTCTGTGTGATTTGTATTTTTCAGCTGAGAGAAGAGAAGTTACAGGAAGAAAAAACTTGTGAAGATAAGATCCACAAGGTACTGCAGGAGGATTCAGAAATGGGAAAAAGGAAAACGGATGAACAGAAAACAAGAGATGAGCCAGTGGTGCTGAAAACAACTCTGGAGCAGGTCAGTGGGCACCTGGGTGGACATCTGCCCAGTCTGCCGTCCAGCCAGGGAAGTGGGTCTGAGAGCTCTGTGCAGCCTAGGAGTAGGGAAGCACTTCCCATCCAGATGGAGATGGAGGAAGCAGTTTTGAATGGGGCAGTGACAGCCTGGGTCAGTGTGCTACACGTGATAAGATTTGTATGTATACCATCATACTGACGTATGTGCTGGTTTTTGCATTAAACTTCATACATCTTAACATCTTCAATTAGATTTTTTAAGGTTTATTTATTATGTATACAGTATTCTGCCAGCATGTATGCCTGCAGGCCAGAAGAAGGCACCAGATCTTATTGATGTTTTTGATTGTTGTCAGCCTCCATGTGGTTGCTGGGAATTGAACTCAAGACCTCTGGAAGAGCAGCCAGTGCTGTCAACCTCTGAGCCATTTCTCCAGCCCTCAAGCATCTCTCTAGCCCTCTGATTTCTTTTAAGCTGTATTTTACTTTCCTTTATCCTCTGTAATCCCTTGAGCAGAACTATGCTTAGGTATAAGTACATCCTCAGCCAGGCATGGTGGCACATGCCTTTAATCCCGTCACTCTGGAGGCAGAGGCAGGAAGGTCTCTGTGATTTTGAGGCCAGCCTGGTCTACAAATCTTGACCCAGGATAGCCAGGGTGGTTACACAGAGAAAACCCTGTCTTGAAAAACAATAACAAAAAAAAATACGTTCTCCAATATTAGATGAGTAGTCTAAGCTTACCCAGTTAGGCACATGATTGAGCCAACTCTTGCTTGAACATATCCATTACTGTTTTTTATTACTTACTTGTATGTGTATAAGCAATGCATACCTTGACACAAATGTACAAATGTGACAGTCAAAAGATAAGCTGTGAGAGTTATTCTTCTCTTTCCATCACGTGGGTCCTGGGGATTGAATTCAAATCCCACCAACCTATCTGACTGTACCAAGAAAGTACGTTTTGAAAATGTACTTATATTCGCATAGAAAAATAGGAGTTTAATGTCAATTCTAGTTACAGTGGTTTGAACATCTAATGATTGCTGAATATTTTTGAGTCATATCTTTTAAGTATTTTTATATAGCCTTGTTAAAATTTCAGGTTACTTTTTTAAATGGGTTGAAATTAATGAAGCCTTAACATATGTGAAGATAGGCAACATAAGAGAGTAGGAGAATGAGGGAGTGCCGGAGAGATTGCTGATCTTGTAGAGGAACTGGGTTCCATTTCCAGCACCCACAAGTTGGCTCACAGTATTTGAAAGACCCGCTGCTTGTAAGGATACACGTGCTTTAGCTTAGGAGGCAATAGGATGCATGCTGGTTTGACTACAGCCTCAGCTATGCCTTTTTCCAATCGTAGTATCCTCAAACAGTCCCAAAGCCCCCATACCTAGATTTCCTCCAGGAACAGGTCTCTAATACTGATTTTATGTCACAGCTGGGCATCATAATTATTTTGCTTTTAGCACTACTGTTTTTGAAATAGAAATCAGTTAAACCAGCACAGTTCACTTCTCTAAAGGAATCAGAAAATGCAGCTCTTCAGATTCCCTTATTGTCAGTAGCCAGGTTCACAATATTGTCAATGCAAAGCACAGTGAGTAACATCCAACTTGTTTTGGATTTTTATAATCCTGCCCTTTTCTACCCTCCTATTTCCTTGTACATTTTTGAGGACTTTTAAATGGCTTTAATAGTTTTTAGACTAATGCAGGCTTGTGCTCCCAACTACTTGAGAGACTGAAGTCAGAAGATTGCAACTTCAGTGCTAGCTTGGGCAACTCAGTGAAACTTTCTAAAATAAAAATTCCAACAAAGGCCAACAGTGGAGTAGAAGAACATTTGACTGGCATGTGCAAAGACCCGGGTTCAGTCCCTGTACTGGGGCAAAGCAAGTGCTTGGTCTTGAACAAACAATCTTATTATATTAAAATTGGGCTCAAGAGAATCTGAATAGTTTCAATGGAAAGCCAGCCAGTGAACTCTTTGTATTAAGTGTGTGTCCTGATGAGACAAGTCATTACACTTTCGTACCACCAAACCTCAACGACCCTGCATTTCTGTGAGAACTCTTCAGCCAGCACTCAGGTCCTTCCTTAAGCATGATTCTAGCTTGTCTTCCCATTCTTGAGTATGATCCAAGACTCTTGGGAGCAGAACCATTTGCTGCCAGTGCATATATTCTGCTTCCCTTTTTCTGGTGAGTTTCTTGCTGCTGGAAAGGTTGCTCTGTCTCTCTGGGTCCAGTTTAAAAGCTGTCACCTTCAGACTGGTAGAGATCCTCACTTCATTCATCCTCCTTTCCTCATTTCACCCTCAATACTTAGTGACTGCTACAAGATTTCATGCTCCTATTATAGATTTTGATTGATTGTTGACGTGTTTCTGACCCATTTAAAAACCTCCCACAATTCCTTGCCCATCACAAGTTTTTAATGCATGCTCATGAAAATATTAAACTCAGAAGAACATACTCTTTCTAAGAAAGGAGAGATCCGGGCAGTGGTGGAGCACGCCTTTAATCCCAGCACTCTGGAGGCAGAGGCAGGCGGATCTCTGAGTTTGAGACCAGCCTGGTCTACAAGAGCTAGTTCCAGGACAGGCTCCAAAGCTACAGAGAAACCCTGTCTCGAAAAACCAAAAATAAATAAATAAAAATTTAAAAAAGTAAAAAATAAACAAAAACAAAAGGAGAGATATGATCTATTATTTTCTGAAATAGAAATAAAATGTTTAAATTGTTGTTTTCTTATAGTACCATTAATCTAATAATGGTGTGAATTGTTGAAAAACAGAACAGTATAGCTAACAGTTATATTAAGGATTACAAATCAGAAATGAAAGATTCTACAACCTAGAGTAACCCCTATAGGCATTTTGGTAATTATCCTAATCTGACCTATTTTCTAAGTGCAATGTGCACACACATCTGTACGCGTGCACACATACACACACACCCTTATGTATGCACTACATGTTCTTTTCATTCAGAAATGTTGATTTGCATGCAAACTGCATTACAGCTCCTTTTTAGTTCATTATAAATTGTGCCTTTCCCTGTAAATAAAGAATTCATATCTTTCTTCAGTTGTCCCCTAGTACAACTTGAGAATTTTAATCTCCTGTAGATATCTTACTGTCTTAAACGCTACTGTGGTAAATTACTAAAAGGAGACCAGGTGAAAGTGAGCTTTGAAGCTGTTCTAGCATGTGTGTTGCTCAGTTGTCACCACCCTGGACGGGTGGTTTAGATGAACTCCTTTCTGTGCTGTATGAAAGCCACACCTGCTTCCCCTGCCCCTACCAGCCTGGGAGGGACGGTGGTGTTTTTAGTGTCACTGCAGACTTTTTGTCTCCCCGTGCTCTGCACTGTCTTAGGCTTGTCTATATCCAACACGAAAGATGAGAGGTAGACATTTCCTAGCTAATGTTCCTAGGTTGTGAGCATGGAAGCGTGGAGACATGGGTAGCTTTTGTCTATGTAGATATTTGCCATTTAGTTTTAATAATGCAGTTTAGTTTTCATCAGTTAAAAGGAATTTGGTGAATAGTATAAAACTAAGATTTTTTTAATACTGTTTAAGTTTCTAAAAGTAAAGTCTATTTTTTGAGGGCTTGCCTGTTAGCTTATTTAATATTTTATCAGTTTAGCAGAATCTTTACAGTAGTGAAGTGGTTCTCAACTTTCCTAATTCTGTGACCCTTTAATACAGTTTCTTATGTTGTGGTGACCCCAACCTTAAGATTATTCTCGTTGGTACTGTATAACTATAATTTTGCTACTGTTATGAATCATAATGTAAATACGTTGGAGACAAAGGTTTGTTAAGGGGGTCAAGACCCACAGGTTAAGAACCACAGATTTAGAGACGGCGAAAACGGATGTAAAGATGAGCCACTGACCCTAGCTAGAATGACACTGAGAAGGATGGGGTCCAAATAATCTTTTGCTTGGTACCAAACTGGTTATGAAAAGAGACCAAAGTACATAAAGAGTGCCATTATTTATTTGTGTTGAGTCTGTCACCTCTCTCCCAGAGTTGGAAGAAAATATCAAATGTAATTTGATAATGGGTTAATTTGATTTGGGATATTTTCAGTTAAAGCCACATTTGCAATTAGTATTTTCAGAAAGCACTTCTAATCAAATTGGAACTCAGAAAAGTGAGAGATTGAACTTTGAAACCATAGCTACGATAGATCCGATGGGAACCCCAATTTTATCTCCCTTGTCTCCTTGCCAGTGTCCTGCACGTCTCTCGGATTCAGAGAATGAAGAACCTTCTCGGGGCCAAATGATACAGACACATCGCTCGGCCTTTGTCTCCAAGAACAGCTCCTACTCCTTAGCTTTCCTGGCAGGGTAAGAGCTGAATTCAGAGTTCTTTCATGTTGGGTGACAGGGTCTTCGGACAAGTAGCGGGAGTAAAAAGAGATGATATTATTAATAGATTATAGCTGGATGGTGGTGGTGCACGCCTTTAATCCCACTCTCTGGAGGCAGAGGCAGCAGATCTCTGTGATTTTGAGGCCAGCCTGGTCTACAGAATGAGTTCCAGGACAACCAGGATTGTTATGCAGAGAAACCCTGTCTTGAAAAAGCAAAAAAAAAAAAAAAGACCAAGTAGATTACAGAGGTGTGTGTGTGTAAGGTTAACCTCCATGGTGTTCCTCGGGAGCCATCTACCTTGTTCTTTGAGACAGGGCACCTGATTGGCCTGAAACTTGGCAAGTGGGCTAGGTGAGCCTCAGGAGCCCAGGACCTGCCTGTCCCCACCTTCCTAGCATTAGGATTGCAAGTGGTCTTTGAAATCAACCTCAGTCTTCTATAAAAATTCAGAAGCTAAGAAAAGTCGTATTTACTCATTTCTGGCATCCTCTAGGTAGGATTACGTTAATTTCGTATCTGCAAAGTGTGAACCTTTCTCCTATGGAAATGACAAGTCTCCTTCGGTTTGACAGTATCTGTAGACTCTCCCTCTGGACTGTAAGACTCTTAGAAGGAGTGAGACTGGGTTGTTTCCTTTCCTTGCCTACACCTAGTTTCAGGAAGTTTTTAAAATCCTGGTCAAGGAATTTCTGGGTCCTTTAGGCTTTGCAGGTCCTGGGGAGGAAAAGAAAGCAGGATTGGATGGCTGCTTGACCCTGGAGGAATACAGAAGGGCAGGCAGTGGGCAGGCAGTGGGCAGGCGGCAGGTAGTCGTCATTTGTTCAGTAGACGTTTTGGAAGTGATTCAATGCCCTCTTCTGGCCTCCTTGGGCACCATGTGTTATACAGTATACATGCAGGCAAACCACCCACACAAAAAGTAAGTATAACAAAAAGTATAAAGTCATAATACAAAAGATAAAAATCACGTGTTCTGGAAAACTCGGGAAACTCAAATGTAATGAGTTAGCAAGAGACTACACTTAATTTTGACTACCTAAATAAAAACACAGAGCATTGTGGTGCATCTTCCTAAATGCTTCTTTTTTGTTTTTTTTCTTTGTTTCATTGCTGCCTTAGATTGCTTGCAGAGAGGTGTGGGTCTGATAGGAAGAACAGGTTTTATTTGTTAGGGAACTGTATACTGTACACATCTTCTGAGGGAGGTATAGGGAGGTAAAATACCCCCACTCTCTAAGCCTGGCAGACAGCCGTCTTCTCTGCCTCACCGAGGCAGGGTCTGAAAACAAGCCTGAACTAAGTGTCCTGTCTTTCTTATTGGTGTTTGGTTAATAAGTTAACCTGTTTTCTATTATAGCTACCGAAGGGTTGTCTTTCTTGGTGAGTGGCTTAGAATGGTAAGAGACTGTCATCTTTTCCTAAACTCACGTAGGGGCTAATCGTAACTAAATATTCTTTTTATAGGAAGCTAAACACCAAGGTGCAGAGGAGTCAGAGCTGCAGTGACACGGTTCAGGACCGAGTGAAGAGCAGGCTCAGAACTGCTCCACCCAACAGAGCCAAGGTACACCTCAGCCTCAGGCTCACCCAGCAACACACACATAGCTTCCCCTGCACCAGGCAAAGTACGTTAGTTGCACAGGATTAGGATCCTATAGACAGAGATGAAGGAAGAAGGTTCAAATTAGTAGACAGAGTTGGGGGGTATTACACCATTATAGATAGATACCTTTTAAGTAGGTCTCGGTGAGACCCATCTTCAGATTTTAATGTTTCTAATTCCTTAATGTGTGTGTATGTGTTTTAAGCTAGGATTTCCCTATTTTTTTAAGGTACACTTTACCCTTCTCCCTTCCTTCCCCATCTTCCCACCATCTAAAGGATTTATGTAGAAACAAATACATACATGAGAGAGCTGGAGGGATGGCTCAGCAATGAAGAGCGTTTCTGCTTGCAGAGTACTAGACTCACATCAGTCAGTTGCTTCCCATAATTCTAGCTCCAGGCAGGGGATCCAACACCCGCTTCTGGCCTCTGTGGACACCGGCACATGCATGTGCACAGACACACATGATCTTTTATATTTCTTTCAGGTCACAACTATAACTCCAGGGTCCACCCCCATTATTGGTGTTCTCTTGTCCACTCAAAACAACCGCTGCCTCTCAGCTCCTGACTTAACCATAGAAAAGCGCCTGCCCTTCAGCTCCCTTTCATCCTTGACTTCTTTGCATAAGCCAGAGCGCTCTATCAGCCCTGAAAGCAACGACAGCATCTCTGAAGAACTAAACCACTTCAAGCCCATCGTCTGCTCACCATGCACCCCTCCCAAAAGACTCCCTGACGGCCGTGTGCTAAGTCCTCTCATCATCAAGTCAACACCTCGTAACCTGAACAGAAGCCTGCAGAAGCAGACTTCCTACGAGGCTAGTCCACGGATCCTCAAGAAGTGGGAACAGATCTTCCAGGAACGGCAGATCAAGAAGACCCTTTCCAAAGCCACTCTCACCTCCCTGGCCCCTGAAGGATGGGAGGAGTTACCAGGCTCTGAAGCTATTCATTCTAGCAAGGAGAGGCCGCCTCTGGCTCTAAGTACAAAACTGTCCAGAGCCCAGGTGCTCTCAGAGTGTGCTGGGCCCACATCTACTACCCTTGAATATTTCCCTTCTGTTAACCAGACAAAAGCAGAACAGGACTGTGTTAGAAAAAGGAGCCATGAGGTTCCAGTGGAATCCTGCCATTCCTCAGAGTACAGAGTTGTAGCCAGTGGGCCTTCTTTGGAAGGGGAGCAGTCTGAAGAGTCAAGGTCCACCCTAGATGCCACGTTAGACAAAACTTGCACGAGCACAGTCATGAAGACTTCAGCAGTTAATTCAGTGCTACCCAAAAATGATGTTTTGGGTGGGGTCCTCAAAACAAAGAAACAGCTGAAGACACTTGGTCATTTTGATCTGGCTAATGGCATTCTGGTTGACAGCCTAGGAGAGGAGTCAATTCCTTCCTTGCGTAGGGGCCGGAAAAGACGTTGTAAGACCAAGCACTTGGAACAAAATGGTGTTAAGAAACTGCGACCACCCAGCAGTGACATGGGCCTGGCCCCCAAAGACCCAGGACTGCTTGAGGTGGGGCGGAAATGGCAGCAGGAGGATGCGGGCCCGATGGCTATCCAGTCACAGTGCATATTTGACGGTGAGAGGCGGACTGTGAGCCGGCGGAAAGGAAACATGGATCAGTATCTCTTACGGTCCAGCAGCCTGGCTGGGGCCAAGTAGCACTTACTGAACAATGTAATGTTACGGCTTCTCAGAGGCCTTGGCCTCAGTCATTTATCCAAAAGAACTAGCTGAATGGTCTCACTTTGAGTTTCTTTCGATGGCAAAACACTGTCTAATACGGTTCTGAGGGGCTTCAGGACCTTGGTAATCAAAGCCAAGGGTCTGTATCTTGGGCTCTCTAGGACCTGGGCCATGCTTCTCACCCCCCGAGTGAGCCAACTCTGAAGGCTGCCAGGCCCAAACCTGGCAGCACCCACTTGGAATGAGATTGAGATTGGCCTCATTCATGAACGTGATGGCCAGAGTGAGAGACGGCAGGGAGAGAGTACCTTCTCACACTCGTGAGACCCCCCAGCTTCTTACGACAGAGTAGTGTTTAAGTCAGCCTTGCAGATAAAGATCCACTCTTCAGAGACAAGCAGTGCAGTGCTTGGGAAGATCCGAGATGAACAGCACAGGTGATCATGTTCGTCTGTCTTCCCTGTGTGACTCTGCATACCTAAATCAGTTGAGCTTAGAACCTTTGCTTCTCCACAAGTTAATTTGCATTCCCTGTTTAAACTATGACATTTGACTGATGCTGTGATTGACACCTGGTCTTCTTGGTATCAGCTTGATGAAGCTGCAGTGCAGGTGTTGAGGTTCTCAGCTGCCGAGTGGTGTCGCCCAGGCTGACCACTGTGTCTCCTGGATTCTCCACAACCACAGGGTGCCTGAGGGCATGCCTGCCAGGGCGGCCTAGGGACTGGCTGGGCACTGGGTGTGACAGTGCAAAGCCCCCCGCGGAGCAGTTAACATTGCTGGGATGTAAACGGTAGAACTGCGGTGGCTCACCTACCCCGTTTACAGGCTCTGCTTCCCTAGGAGTCCTATCCTGAGATAGCTATAAGGTTTTCTTACTACTTTCCACTTGGCAATGGCTATCTGAAATTTTGGTCTAAAAATCATGAAAAACTTGCCCCAGAGTCAGGCAAAGGTCAATGCTGAGACTCCCATACTGTGGAAACAAGGTATCTAGCTGGATGCAGCTGGTAAATTCAGTCCCATGGACCTTTGGGGTTTATTTTTCTTAGCAGCTGACACCATGTGTCTTTTGCATCCCTGGTGGTGCTTGGTGCTTCTGCCTTTCTGGGCTCAGTGAGAATAGGGATTCTGATAGGATTTTAGGGACTCTCAGGTGGGCTGGCGTTCCCTTTGTATGAGCTGTTACCATAGTCATGTGACTGGCATTTTAACAGACCTTCCAGAGCTTCTATACCTACCCTATGCAGTCTCCCTTGAAAGGTCCCAGCAGGATACTGCGTAGTTCTCCAGTGAGTTGCCTTTGATCAGAGAGTTTCTGAAACAAAGTGTAGAAATAGCTAGAGGATAACCCCTCCTCAGTGGCTGAGAGAGGTTACCTGTAGTGCTGTTTCCTCGGGGCAGATGTCAGTTTTGGGGATTGTAGGAGAGAAAACCTCAGATTTGGAATTAGCCCAAAGGTGGTTGAAGCTCCTAGGGAGGGGAAGGAGCACATGGAGTCCCAAGAAAGCTGTCCCTTGGAGCAGACAGAGCTCTTTCTCTGCAGCTCAGAACTGACTGTTCCCGGGGATGCTGGATGTGTGTGGCCATCGCCGAGATAGGTGGCTTCAGGGGAGTCCTGGGGTGTGGTGTGTCTCTAAAACATGCGGTAGTCTCGTTATACTCATACCACTTTACTTCTTATGTTAGTGCCCAATAGGAGGGCTGGCCCTGGGCTGCAGATACAGGAGATTCCATTAGAGAAAACTTGGAAATTTTTGCCATTTCATATATTTGTTTTATGATCTTAGTTATTATTGGAAGGCTAGTCTTACTAGGTAGTAGCAAAGACACTTATTTTTCCACATGTCACCCTTTTATATGCCATTGGCCATTAGAAAAACACTTTCAGTTGGAGTTAATTTTTGGTTTTGGGAAAAAGAAAATATTTTTAATAGTTGAGAAATATATATTTTAAATATCCCCCCTGCCCCTAGTTACTGCCTTGACTCTAAGAGTGTGCACAGCAGTGATGACAAGCGTACCTGCAGGTGCGGTGCTGCGGAACAGTGTACACTGAGGAGGAAAGGCTTCCTTTTTAGTCCGCTTAGCTTCGAAGGTGGGAAAACTACTGAAGCACTGCATGCAAGGTGCTCTCGCATGTGGTCACTGGAGCCCTTCACAGCTACAGCTGTTGACTCGGGAGAACTGGTGGGCTAGAGGGAAAGACATCACTTCACAACCCTCGTTCTGCTGTGCTCCTTCTGTATGTGCATTCCGCTTGTTTTCTTACTAGAGTAAGAGGAGGGTGAGTCTTTCTAAGAGATGTGCCATTCCTCAAGAGGGTTGGTAGCCCTTCTCCAGAAAGGTAACCTTAGTGACATTCCTGAGTAGCTGAGTACCTGTTGGGAGAAGTCATCTGGACCAGATGGATTGGTATCAAGTCAGGGATTATTCAACCAGCAACTGACCTCTATCCCTTAGTTACCTCTTGTCTAGGAATTCTTTCCTAACTGACCTTATTTGTTAAAAGAAACAAAACAAAAAATCCAAAACTTTCTTTTGTGGGGAGAGTATACTGGTCATAAATGTCCCTTATTATTTTTTAAGGTAAAATGCCCCTCAGAGAGTAAAGCTATTTCATTAATTATTGTCTGGTTACAAACTAGCCACTGACTAACATGGGCAGCTGCTGATTGAAGGCTGTGTTCATTCAGTAGGCGCTTTTGAGCTCTTAGACCACCCCACCCTGTGCTGGACCATAGGATAGTCCCCGTTAGGAGGGGGGCGTGTCTAGTGCACTGTGCGTGCCCGTGTGTTCGGCCAGAGAGTGTGTTAATGATCTCTGGACAGCCATTTCCTCTGTAGCAGAGAGAACTAGCACTTAGCCTGCCACCAGCAACATTTCCCACTCCTTGTCAGTATTTATGAGCTGGTTAACTCTGCCTTTTCCCGCTTCCTAAGTAACTTTCTCAGGGAAGAGTGGATGTTCTGCAGTGGTTATAGAACAGTCACCTGTTCAGAAGCTGTATTTACATCAAGTCCTAAGAAATGAGGCAGGTCTGGATCACTGGCAGGGCCAGAGAAGCCCATTCTTCATTTTAGTGATCTCCTAATGCATTCCCCAAGCTGACCTCTCACCAGAACCGGCAGTGACCTGGGGTTTCTTCTTCCTAGCTTGTCACTGAAGTGGAGAGCCATCAGGAGACGGTAGAGGCTAGCTCATCATCGTGGGATATTAAAGCTGGACCAGCCCCAGCCCCACTTTAAATGAAGACCCACTGTTCTGGTTTCTGCTGTAGTTTTCTAGGGCAGAATAATAGTGAAAGTCACACAATTTGTGAATGAAGGGGACACCCAAGTGACAGAGGTTTTAGAATGGCTGTTTTGTTTCTTTCAATTAAGTTGTACCTATATCCCCTGAATATGTCCATAATATACAGAGTACTTAATAGGGAAAACCCCATAGTGTGAACTAAGTAATAAGTGGAATTTTGTTGTAGTTATTTTAATTACAGCCTTTGCTGTTTCTTTCAGAATAAAATTCCTTAGGGTCTTACACCTTTCTTAGCCAGCCCTTTGCTCCTCAACCATAGGATGCTCCCTAGACTTAGCGTTTAGAGAGGATGGAACTGGTTAAAGTCTCATGACCCAGGAGGGTGTGAGGACTAGGCTGCTGCACACATTTTCTTTGATGACCCAGAAATGCACCTTTCACCATAGCATTCTGAAGACTTCTGTAGAAGACATGTAGGAAGGAACACACAGAGGTGTCAACTTAGTCAAAGTGGATGGTGGAAGAGGCACCAAAACCCATGTGACCAGACTGCTCTGTGTCTGCCAGTTTTTCTTCTGAGGGGCAAATATACTCTTGTGTCCCCTTTGGGGCGTCTCAGGTCCAGAAGGAGTTAGACAAAGCCATGCTAAGATCAGGTTTGCTCCTCTCCCTTCCCTACCACCAAGTATGAGCAAAAGACAGTGCAGGCTTCAGTGTTGAGCTGTGTAGGGTGTAGCCTTCTGGTGCCAGATTCTTGTAGCAGCCGTCAGTTCTCCCTAGCTGCCACTTGCCCTCCAAGCTGAGATTCCAGTTTGCATCAGACATGACCATCAGCCCTAAGCTCCAGCAAAGCAAGAAACAGATACTATGCAAGACAAGTGGGTGTTCTTTTTCTCCCTTCTCCCCTCTTCCCCCTCCCTCTCTCTCTGCACCTGATACACTGTTTACTCTTAGCTGTACAGATATAGTTGTCTTAAGAGCCAAGTACCAAACCTTTCCACCTAGAAATATAAAATGGTTGTCTGTTTGGTTTTAGGCAATCTGCTATAGCTCCTTGTGATCTGGTGGTTGTGACTTACTCAACCTGTTTACATTAGGATTGGAGAAGGGGCCCTGCATCCTGGTGGACTGCCACTGCTGTCTGTAACCCCTTGACTCATAAAGAGCCTTTTGACAGAGGACTTGGGACAAGGTATGCCCTGTCAGGGATGCTTTTCGCCACAGTGAAATGGTGTGGAATTGAGTGGGAGGTTGTACAACTAAAACAGAACCAAAGTGCATTCTTCATGTGTATGCGCCTGTTCCAGGCGAGGCCCAGGTTGGAAATGCAGTAAAGCAGACTTATGAAAGCAAACAGTCTACTTCTGGTTAGTCTCGAGAGACCTGCGTCTGACAGTGTGGACTAAGCTCAAGGCAGGTGTTTGGGTGCTGTCCTGGGGCAGGGAGGTACCTGGGATGGAAAGGCACTGGGGTGCGGTCTCCACAAGGAATAAGTATACCTTTTGATGTATTCTAATGGACAGTATTTAGTTTCCTGACCTCTTGTGATCATCCCTACTTCTCTGAAGACACAGTTTGCATAAAGAATGACTTGTGGGATGCCATCGTCCTTGCCCCTTACAGCTGTACTTAGAAATACGATTGTTAAACATACTCTTCTTTGGAACCATTGCTCAGAAAGACATAAAAAAAAAATACCTTTGACATGAGTTTTTCACTGAACATAGAACAAATGTTAACCTGTTTCTCTTAAACTCAGAAAACGAACCTGGAAGACTCTGCAAGCCCATGTGGGACCTTCGAAGACCTTCAGCCCAAGGCCTTCAAGGGAGATTTGAAAAGCCAGCGGAGATTTGAAAACAGTACTCGGTCCCTATAGTAGCAAGATGCTCAACGCACTGTTAATTCCCCTGTAACTAGGTATGGTGGGTGTCCTCCTTTACAGATGGGAACTCCAGCACTGGCAGTGCAGAGCCTAGGTGCTGGGCCCTCTGACCCCAAAGCTGCTGGTTACCTCTTGTACTGCTGTAGCCTCAGATAACCTTGCAGTGCAAACCTCTACCACTGGCCTTGGAGAACAGTATGGCTCCAGTTGCTGTCTGGACTGGAACTGGTTGGGCAGGTGACAGGTGTGAGCATAGTCTGCTTCTCCATCTGTGGGTTCTGATTGCTCACTAGCATTCTGGGTGACTAGACGATCCAGTTTGAGTTTGTGGAGACAGCAGGATCAGGAGTTCAAGGTCATCCTGGGCTACATAAAATTCTGTCAGAAAATACAAGAAAAAATGAAAACCATGAGCCATCTTACCAAGTCTTACTAGAGTAGTAGCAGAGCTGGGGTACAACATAGTGGCTTCCTGCTAGGGTTCAGTCAACATTTTGTTACATGTATGGAAAAGGGGGCTCATGCTTGAACTTGCTGTCTATGAAAGTAGCCTGTGGGGTAAGAAGCCAAAGTAAGGAACTCAGAATGATCAGAAACTTAGCAAGGAGAGGCAACCAGCTTGTTCAAGGGAGAGAAGGTGGTGCTTGGCCCAGACAAGTGTGCCCTCTTTGGAATGCCCTCACACTGGTTAAGGGACTGCCATGGGGGTACAGAGAGCAGACCTGGAACTGAGGGACATAGGCAGTCAGGCTACATAGTCCATTGTAGCATAACCATTAAAACTGCCATCCTTCAGAGTCTGAAGAAGCTGGGTTGGAACAGAGTGTGTGTAGGTAAGCAGGTAATAGGGTCCATTCTTGAGAATATGTGGCAGGAACACATCTGGCGAAGGGAGCAGTCTAGGAGGGTCTCTAGTGGAACCTGGTGGGTTGACAGTGTCACTGTCAGGGTGGCTTCTCCTAACAACAAAGGGAAGATGGACACTTAGAAACTCCTGAAAGTCCAGTCTAGCAAGCCAAGCACAAATGCCCTGAATGTGGCTGCTGCTGTGGGTCCCTGAATTACCTGTATCTGTCAGACGTCCAAATGAGCTAACCACTTTGTCACCTGGTGTGGCCTGCATAGTGAGGTACATGCACATGGGCATTGACTATGATCGCAGCTTAGGGTAAGCACTTTAGCTATTTACATGCCTGTGAAGTTGAGTTCAATAATGTGTAAATGGTTGTGATTTGGATTTGGGGCGTCTACCTTGCTGAAGGCCAAGAAGCATTCTTCGACCCCGGGGACTGCAGCTCTGATGCCCCAATCTGAAGTAGCCGTCCTCAGGAGAGAAGTCTTAGGTCCCACACAGCATAGCCCTGTTGGACTTCTCCAGACCTTCCTGGGTTAGGTGCTGCCTACTGGGCACACACCAAGAAAGCAACAACCCCAGCCCAGATGTTTGTATTCCTGTCTTCAGCTTGTGTCATGGATTATGGGACCCTGGGAAACTAGCTCCTCCCCCTTCTACCAGCCATTATCTCAAAAGGGACCATTCCATCATCTTTCACCCTCACAATGGAAAAAAGCTTCCTCACGGGAAATCTGTCTGCCTGGCCTGGGTCCTCTGCTTTGGTACCCTGCCTCTTGCTGGCTACAGCCCACTTAACTTCTGAGCTTTCTGTGCTACTTCTCTGTCTCAGCACTTATTGAAGCTGTCACGAGCGACTCAGGTGGGTTTCTCATAGCCCTCTGGGATGCAGGAATCAGTGGAGATTTTTCCTTAGTGACACCACCACTGTGGCCCTGACCTGGCTTCCAAGAATACTTGGTACCCACTGTATTGCTCTATGCATCACTCTTTATTGCTGCTGGGCCAGCCACCAGGTGTAGCTTGGCCGGGCTCGGAGGCGAGGTCCTGCCGAGCTCCACATGCTGACCACGGAGCGAAATGGAGTCCAAGCCCTCTCTGTTCAGGGCAGGGCATAGTCCAGGGCAAAGAGCCCCTGGGGAGGGCGGTGTGAAGCTCTACTCTTTCGAGTCGCTGGCCGTGGGCTCCTGGCAGAACTCGTCCATGAACTCGAGGAAGCGGCCCAACTTGGGCTGGCCTGCGCTCAGTGCGCGACGGGTGGGCGGCCTGGGCGGCGGGCTGGCGGTGAACACAGTCCGCAGCGAGCTGCGCACCAGCTGCCTGTAGCGCGCGCGGAACTCCTTTAGCAGCCGCTTGGCCTCTCGGTACTGTTTCCGGTTCACCAGGCGCTGCTCTGCGCGCCGCTGCAGCACCGCGCCTGCAGGGACCAGAGTGGACAGGGCCAGGCTCGCCGGTTCCTCAGGCCCAGAGATACACAAAGTATGTTGGTGTGTGGAGGCAGTACAGCCCCGACAGTGGGAAGTCATGCCTTAGTTCAAAACCCGAAGGTGCCCGGTGACATGGGAGCCTCGTGCCTGTCCTGCATACACTGTAAAGGGCTTGGGAAACCCCACTTTCCACATCCTCCCTCCTAGTTTCGTACCAGCCCTCCCTAGTAGACACCAGCCTTGATGGGACAATGGCACCATACCCAGTGGAGCTTCAGTGACGTTCCGAGGGTCCCGCATGCGAATGAGGATGTCATCCAGCAGCTGCGCTTTGGTCTTCCGTAGGGGTGGTATTGGTATCCTCGCAGCCTGGCACAAGGTAAGGAGGTCTGTCATGTCATGCACTCATAGCGACAGGCAGGGGGCAGTAGGGAGTCCTGGGAAACGGGCCTCAAGGTCCCAAGGTGGAGACCTCAAAACTCAGGAGCACAATCAGTGGCTGAGGTGCTTACCCGCTTCTCTTTGGGTATGTAGGGTTTCTGGAAAGTGTCCAGCCTGGGCTTGGAGGAACGGCAGACAAGCGGCTGCTTCAGCATGCGGTGCAGGGCCTGCGCGTTCTTCTGGATGCCTAGCAGAGAAGGCAGAAACAGGTGTCGTCCCTGACCCTGCTCAGTGCTGGGAAAAGAACTGCAGAGCCCAAGAAAGCCATTTACCAGGGCTTTCTGATCTGCGGCCTCCCCACCCCCACCCCAATGCTTCACCATTCATTGCAAGAAATGTCCCTGTGAGCTCAGAGCCTGATGTGGGAAGACTTTGGGCCTCACAGTGATTCCATAAACTCGGGGGTCACATGATAGGAGTGACTCCCAGGAGACTGGCTCCCAGCAGGCTCTTTGGGAGGCACAGATACTGTTGTCACATCAGAGTAAATAGAATCATAGATGAGAGGGCACTGCCTCTGCTGCCCCAAACCAGGTGGGGAGGGTTTGGGATGGTCTTCTGGGCCTTAACAGAGGCTGGTGAGAACTCAGGAATCTGGCTTTGTTTGCTCATTAACCCTTCTCTATGAGCAATTTTCCACCCAGGCTGACTGGGCTAATCCAGGCAGTCTTTGAAAAAAACCCATGACCCAAAGCAGTGAAAGTTCAGCAAAGGGCAGTGTGATGCTGCCGTGTACTAAGAACCCCCTGGCAGACAGTCACATGGAGTCAGAATCAGCCTTGGCCTGGCGTGGCCTGCTCTGGACTGAGAGGATGTCCCTAGCCCTGACATACCCTTCGGCTCCACAAAGGTAGGATCAGGCTTGGCTGTGAGCAGCTCCTCATAGCCATTATACTTGTTGGACATAGGGGCAGACGGCTGCTTCCGCCGGGTCCTCTTTGCCTCTCTGGGTGCAGTTAGTGGTCTCTTTTTTGCATTCTCCTTCGCCTCTAACTTTTCCCTGTGGACGGTGGAGGATGGCAGTTCATTCACCTGTGCCAGGAAGAAAACACACTCACTTGTTTCCTGCCCAATCCCAACATGAGCTCTGCACAGCTCATGTGTTGGGCCCTCATAAGGGAGAGCTGAGGCATGGAGGAGGCCGAAAGAATAGGTGGTGTGTGCAAACAGGAGCAGGCCTGGGCTCCCAGCCATGACAAAGGGCAGTGGCTGCAGCAGTCAAGGAGCAGCGTGCACACGTAAGAGCAGCGCACCTGACAAGTGGCCTGGTGCTGAGCAAGGCCCGGGAAGGACCGTCGAATGCCACGCTCAGGGTGCTTGTTTTATATTCTTATTCTCACTTTGAGGTAAGCCAGGAACATTTTGACTACCCAAATAGTTTTTATACAGTACAGGACGCCCTACCCATGTAGGGATGTTCCGGGGGACCCTGCCAGTTCTTCTAGCCTTATAGAGGTTGAACAATCTTTACATGAAATGCCCAGGAGAAGAAGAACGTTTATATTTTAGAATATTTACATGACAAGATGAGATGCCTTGGCACAAGACCCAAGTCTACATGTAAAATTTGTTGATGTTTTATGTATATTTTAAATACATAGCCCTAAGGTAATTTCATATATCTTCAGTGATTTTATGCATGAAACGAAAATTTCATGATGTGGAATTTTCCTCTTGTGGACATGTTGGCACATAAAAAATTCAGAATTCAGAATTATCTGGGATTTGAGTCATTCACATTGGGGATTTCCTTTCTCTACACCACCAGTGGTTCTCAACCTTCCTAATGCTGCAACCCCTTTAATACAATTCTTTGTGTTGTGGTTACCCCCAAGCATAAAATTGTTTTTGTAGCTACTTAGTAAGTATAATTTTGCTACTTATGAATTATAAGTATGTAAACATCTGTGTTTTCTGATGGTCTTAGGTAACCCATGTGAAAGGGTTGTTTGACCCCAAACGGGTCATGACCCACTGGATATTCATAGTTCCATTTGAATTTCTTCCCCTGCACCACACTGCCTGTTCTCTCTGCCCATATCTCTACCTTGCTAGCGTTTCCATGGCCCTCCTGGTTTGGAACAGAGGCATCCTTCCTCAGGCCTGGTTCCTGAGTTCCCCCAGTCTCAGCACAGATGGCAAGTTCTGTTCCTGTCAGCTTTCCTTTTAGACCATAAGCACCTCGAAGATGGTACCTGTATCTGAGCCACCTTTGTTCCCAGGACCCAGGGCAGCATGAGAAGGGAGGTAACTTTAGCAAAGGTACAGTAGTGACAAGCCTCTGCCAACCGGCCAGCACCACATCCCAGGAAGATCCGAGGTGCTGTCTGTGCCACAGGGCTACTAGTGTCCTGTGAAGCCCCTGACCAGAGAGTGCAGTGCAGGTGGCTTGGTGCAGGAACCTGTGGGCACTGCAGCCAGAGGTGGAGGCAGCTGGGGACAAGCACCTGAGTCAGGAAGATGGACTCCGTACTCTTGGCATCATCATCTGATGGGTGGTCTGGGCTCAAGAGGCCAGCTGTACGGCTTGGATGGGACACGGCCTCACTGTGTACGGTGGAGTCGGAGCAGATGGGAGGCATTGGCACAAAGGTCCGGTGAGTTAGGGAAGGGCCTTCTGGGCCCTCAGTAGCCAGCAGTGCCTCATGAGAGGTGTTTTCGATGGAGGGAAGTTCCTCAGCTCCCAGTTCTGGCTCCTGCATAAAACTTGAAGGAGGCTTGTCTGTGGTCATGCTCAGGTGATGGGGGACCAGAGAATGCCTTGGCACTTTGGGGACGTGGGTTTTCACCTGAATGAGAGAAAGGCTGGATTAGATTGGCTCTCTAGATGAGCTGCATGGTGAGAGCAGAGTCTGGGGAGGCAGGAGGGCCACATGTGCCCTACCCAGAGGACACAGCGTCACTGTATACCACCATGGTGGCTTAGTGGGGAGGGCTCTTGCTGCCAGCCTGGAAGGTGAGAAATGGCTCCCACAAGTTGTCTTCTGATCTCTTGCATGGCTTCTGTTGCTCACGTGAGAATCTTATAAAGTACCTAGGAACGAACAACTGGCCTCTTTCCCAGGTACTTGTCCCGGGCTCTAGGCCTCACATCAGGTCAGTGCCACTCTTTAGGGTTTAACAGATGCCTCTCTCTCTCCTCAGGGATTTCTACAGGGATGGGGTGGCCGTTTCCCTAAGCCGTGTTTCTCAGGAGCTGTGGAATTACTTAGCTGGCAGGGCCAGTTACCGTCTTTCCTGCACTGTCTTCCTGTGTAGGGGAAGGGGGAGCGGAAAGAGGGAGGAGGCTGTCCATGCCTTGTTGTCTAGGTTTACAGACTGACTGCTGGGCACTGTACTTAGGAGCACGTGGATTCCTTGTGAACAGGGCAGACTACTCCCCACCCCTTCCCTCTTCCACAGGGTGAACTGATGGTCTTCATTCCTGCCTCACTGGGGGCTGACCCCCTGCCCTGGGGGCTAGGCTGGTATAGCTGCCTCTTGTGTGCTCACAGGAAAAATTCTTCAGTTTTCCTCCTGCCCATGCCTTTGTCCAGCGAGTTGAGGAGAAAAGTCCTAGAACTGGCCTGCATGTGTAGCTCCCCTTCTTGGCACACTGCAGACAGGCTGCTGTCTCAGCTGGTGTCAGGCCTAAGCCATGTTCTAGGGCCAAGTTCTGTGTGTGCCTAGATGTACCCCAGTGCTTTGTTGTTCACAGCTGATACTCAGATTACTCAGAACCTTAAAAACAGGAGGAAGGGCAAGGGACACCCTTAACCCAACGCTAACTTGTATCTCGTGAGCTGGTGCACCTCTCTGAGCCTGTTTTCTTGGGAGAAGAGTGAGGACAGAGGTGTGAGTGCCCCGTGGAGTACCAGCCATGGACGATGTAAGAGACAGGCATGTACCCAGCATCAAGCTCACTAACATCCTCCCCCCCCCCCCCCCGCCCCAGATGGTAGATGCACAGGGAGGTGGTAGATTCTCAGAGCATGCCACAGAAACCCTAAGAATGTCGTCTATTTCTGGCTTTAACCCTTGCTCTGCTCCTCTGGGGGCTTAAGAGCTTCATTAACTGAAGCTGCCACAGATGAGGTGGCAAGGGACAGATGTGTCTGTGTTAGCAGACAGGCACTCTTCACAGATTTCCTGAAACTCCTTTAGATCAAGAGATGTTAATTACCAACAAGGTCCCCAGAGGTGAATCTAAGAGCCCACTCGGAGTGAGAGAATCCAGCCTGCCTACGATGGGCTGTGTATCTAGTTCTGGCCACACAGAGCTGTTGCGTGCACCAGGGCCTTGTGTGACTAAGGTCAGTGTAGTTTCATGGCTCCTTCCCTTTAAGCAGCTCTGTGAGGCCCAGAGCTGAGATACCAGCCACTCAGATCAAAACTCTAGTCAAGTTCAGACAGCTGTAGATAGTGAGGGGTCCTAACTTCAAGGCTGATTTCTCCCCCACTTCTTCGCTGGCCCTAGTTTTTCTATAAAATTAGGGGATCACTGACTTAGTGACATCCAAGGCTCTTCATTCTCCCTCTTCTTCTTGAGGACTCTCCGTCTTAACACCCCTGCCTCTAGCTCTGTCTAACAAGAAAGGAAGGCACAGGAGTCAATGGAGAGAGAAGTTCCAGGTTCCAGTTTTGGCTGGGGAGGGGTGTTCTCATACCCAAGCCAGTGCGCATGTTAAAACAGGCTCCACCTTCCCCGGGTCAGGGTCCTGTTGGAAGACTTACCTTTCGTGATTCCTTCCGAGGTATCAGAATATGGTGTTTCGCTTTTACCAGTTTCCTCCGCACTAAGCGGATGCCCAGACGCTCCTGGAGGAAGCTCTTTAGCAGTGGTGGGATCCCTGGTGTTGTGGAGGAAAACAAGATGATTGACAGTTGGCTGTGTGTTCATATTACTTTGTATGTGTTAATGTAATTGTACTTCTCTTTTCAACCCTAGTTATTCCTAGTCCATAAGCAAGGAAAGTGACACCCAGAGGCTGAGGTGACAGTGTAGCAAGGTGTTCCAGCAGACCCAGGGCTGGAGCAGACCTCCGGCTGGTAGAGGGCCAGAAGATGGTGAGCACTGCAGCAGAACTGCATTCAGAATGCTGGCAAAGCTAGCTCTGCAGCTGTGCCAACTCCAGATAGAACTGGAAATGGGACCACAGAGCCCTGCTCTGCAACCAGGGTGCAGCTTATAGAGCTAATTGCCATAGCATTTCTTACCTTAGTCGAACGAAAAATCCTAGGCTATATACAACTACGAAAAGGCCCAAACATCGTAGGACCCTACGGAGTTCTTCAACCATTTGCAGATGCTATAAAACTATTCATTAAAGAACCCCTACGCCCCCTAGCTACTTCTACAACCCTATTTATTATTGCCCCAACATTATCTCTATCACTAGCCCTAAGCCTATGAATTCCAGTCCCCGTACCACATCCCCTAGTTAACCTAAACCTGGGGATCCTATTTATTTTAGCCACATCAAGCCTTTCAGTGTACTCCATCCTATGATCAGGCTGAGCATCCAACTCCAAATACTCAATGTTCGGGGCCCTGCGAGCAGTGGCACAAACAATTTCATATGAAGTAACAATAGCAAATTATCCTCTTATCTGTCCTTTTAATAAATGGGTCTTTCTCAATCCAATCCCTTATCTACACACAAGAACCATTATGGCTCCTAGTCCCAGCCTGACCCTTGGCCATAATATGATTTATCTCAACTCTAGCAGAAACAAACCGAGCCCCATTCGACCTAACAGAAGGAGAATCAGAATTAGTTTCGGGGTTCAATGTAGAGTATGCCGCCGGACCTTTCGCCCTATTTTTCATAGCCAAGTACATAAATATTATCCTAATGAATGCCCTTTCAACAATTGTATTTATAGGCCCATTCCATGATTTTACTAACCCAGAACTTTACACCATAAACTTCATACTAAAAACCATAATATTAACAGCCCTTTTCCTATGAATCCGAGCCTCCTACCCACGATTCCAATACGACCAACTAATGCACCTCCTATGAAAAAACTTCCTACCCTTAACTCTAGCTTTCTGCATATGACATATCTCCACCCCAATCTTCATAGCAAGTATTCCACCATACACCTAGAAATATGTCTGAAAAAAGAATTACTTTGATAGAATAAATTATAGGTTTAAACCCTCTTATTTCTAGAACAATAGGAGTTGAACCTATCCTTGAGAATCCAAAATTCTCCGTGCTACCCATTACACCCCGTTCTAAAAGTAAGGTCAGCTAATAGAGCTATCGGGCCCATACCCCGAAAATGTTGGTTTAAACCCTTCCCGTACTAATTAATCCAATTACATTTACAATTATTTATTTAACTATTGTAACAGGGCCAATAATTACCATATTGAGCTCCAATCTATTTGTCATATGAATTGGACCAGAGATAAACTTGCTAGCCCTTATTCCACTTATAATCAACAATTCCAACCCACGCTCCACTGAAGCAGCGACTAAATATTTCCTCACACAAGCAACCGCCTCAATAATCCTCCTCCTTTCTCTATCCTTATAAACATCAAACAGCCAGGCCTATGGACATTCCAACCCGAAACCAACAACACAATCATAACAATAACTTTTATCTCCCTAGCAATCAAGCTAGGCTTAGCCCCCTTTCACTCATGACTTCCAGAAGTCACACAGGGTATCAAACTTAACGTAGGACTCATTCTTCTTACATGACAAAAAATCGCCCCATTATCCATCCTATTCCAATTCTATGAACTAATTAACCCTAATCTACTGATTTTATCAGCCATTATTTCAGTATTAATTGGAGCATGAAACGGACTTAACCAGACACAAACACGAAAAATCCTAGCCTACTCATTCATCACCCACATAGGCTGAATAGTCTCTATTTTACCATACAACCCATCACTAACAACCCTAAATCTCCTAATCTACATCATTATAACTGTCCCCATATTTCTTATCTTCCACGCCCACTCATTTACGTCAATCACTTCCATGTCACTTATATGAAATAAAATACCAGTAGCCCTACCTATAATCTCATTAATTTTATTATCAACAGGAGGACTGCCACCGCTCACAGGATTTCTACCTAAATGAGCTATCATCACTGAACTAATAAAACACAATAACTTATCTTTAGCCACATTAATAGCAATAGCCGCCCTAATCAATCTATTCTTTTACACACGACTAATTTATTCAACCTCACTAACCACCTTCCCAAGCAATAACAACTCCAAAATATATATTCACCAAGACCATACAAAAAGCAACAACATGCTATCACCAATAATAATCATTAGCACACTGATGCTTCCCCTGTCTCCCTTACTTCTATAGCAGAAGTTTAGGGTAGTTAGTCCAAGAGCCTTCAAAGCCCTAAGCAAACCCACAAAGTTTAACTTCTGATAAGGACTGCAAGACTACATCTTACATCTAATGAGTGCAAATCAATTGCTTTAATTAAGCTAAATCCTCTACTAGATTGATAGGACTCAAACCTATAAACTTTTAGTTAACAGCTAAACACCCTAATCTGGCTTCAATCTACTTCTCCCGCCTATCAGAAAAGGGGGCGGGAGAAGCCTTAGTAGAATCAGTTCTCTACACCTTCGAATTTGTAATTCCATGTGATTATCACCTTAAGGCTTGGTAAAGAGAGGCTTTATCCTCTGTGCTTAGATTTACAGTCTAATGCTTTACTCAGCCATTTTACCTATGTTCATTAACTGCTGATTATTCTCTACCAATCATAAGGACATCGGAACCCTGTACCTATTATTTGGGGCCTGAGCAGGGATAGTAGGGACAGCCCTTAGCATCCTAATTCGAGCAGAGCTTGGTCAACCAGGCGCCCTATTAGGCGATGACCAAATCTATAACGTAATTGTCACAGCCCACGCATTCGTAATAATCTTCTTCATAGTTATACTAATGATAATTGGTGGCTTCGGCAACTGACTTGTCCCACTTATAATTGGAGCACCAGATATAGCATTCCCCCGAATAAATATAAGTTTCTGACTTTTACCCCCATCATTTCTCCTCTTACTGGAATCATCAATAGTAGAGGCCGGAGCAGGAACAGGCTGAACTGTTTACCCTCCATTAGCCGGCAATTTAGCACATGCTGGGGCGTCAGTTGACCTAACCAATTTTTCACTACACTTAGCAGGTGTGTTCTCAATTCTTGGGGCAATTAACTTCATTACTACAATCATCAATATGAAACCACCAGCTATAACACAATATCAAACCGCCTTATTCATCTGATCAGTCCTAATCACTGCTGTCCTACTCCTCTCCCTCCCTGTTCTAGCCGCAGGAATTACAAAACTTCTTACAGACCGTAATCTAAATACCACTTTCTTCGACACAACTGGAGGGGGCGACCCCATCCTCTATCAACACCTGTTCTGATTTTTTGGGCACCCAGAGGTATATATTCTTATTCTCCCTGGCTTTGGCATCATCTCCCATATCGTAACCTACTACTCAGGTAAAAAAGAACCATTCGGATACATGGGTATGGTCTGAGCTATAATATCTATCGGGTTCCTAGGATTTATCGTCTGAGCCCACCATATGTTCACAGTAGGACTTGACGTAGACACATGAGCTTACTTTACATCGGCCACAATAATTATTGCCATCCCAACAGGAGTAAAAGTCTTTAGCTGATTAGCAACCCTTTATGGGGGTAATATCAAATGATCCCCTGCAATACTATGAGTGCTAGGATTTATTTTCCTATTCACAGTAGGAGGGCTGACAGGTATTGTGTTATCCAACTCTTCCCTAGACATTGTCCTTCACGACACATATTATGTAGTTGCTCACTTCCACTATGTTCTTTCCATAGGTGCTGTATTTGCTATTATGGCCGAATTTGTACACTGATTCCCACTATTTACAGGGTACACACTAGATGATATGTGAGCTAAGACCCACTTCACCATTATATTCATAGGGGTAAACATGACATTTTTCCCACAACATTTCCTTGGTCTATTAGGCATACCACAACGTTATTCCGACTACCCAGATGCTTACACAACATGAAATACAGTCTCATCTATAGGATCCTTTATCTCACTAACAGCAGTTCTAATTATAATTTTCATAATTTGAGAAGCCTTTGCTTCTAAACGAGAAGTGCTTAATGTGGAACACGCTTCCACAAATTTAGAATGACTTCACGGTTGTCCCCCACCATATCATACATTTGAAGAGCCAACCTTCATTAAAGTAAAATAAGAAAGGAAGGATTCGAACCCCTAAAACTGGTTTCAAGCCAGCACCATAGCCTCTATGTCTTTCTCAATGAGATATTAGTAAATAAATTACATAACTTTGTCAAAGTTAAATTATAGACTAAACTCTATATATCTTATATGGCTTACCCATTCCAACTAGGCTTACAAGATGCTTCTTCACCTATTATAGAAGAATTAATAAATTTTCATGACCATACACTTATAATCGTGTTTCTAATTAGCTCTTTAGTACTATATAGCATTACTCTCATACTGACAACAAAACTTACTCATACTAGCACTATAGACACCCAAGAAGTAGAGACTATCTGAACCATCTTACCCGCCGTAATCCTGATTCTAATTGCCCTACCTTCCTTACGAGTCTTGTACATAATAGACGAAATTAACAACCCAGCCCTCACAGTAAAAACAACAGGCCACCAATGATACTGAAGCTATGAATACACAGACTATGAGGACCTCTGCTTCGACTCATACATGATCCCAACCTCTGCCTTAAAACCCGGAGAACTTGAATAAGGGTGAGAGAATTCAAAATGCCCAGTTTTTTTTCCCTCTTGAGTTACCTTGAGCAGACCATAGCCACTGTGAACTTTTATTTCCACCAAAGTTCTTGAGGTTAGTGCCTGTTTGCTGTGGCTGCTGTGCTCCCCTCTCCAGGCAGACAACCCCCTCCCCTCCTTGGCCTGCTCCATCCCCACCTTAGCTTCTAAGGCGAGAGTGAGGGTTCCAGGGCTAACACTGAGCGCTGGGTTGGGGGACAGATCCGTGGCTGCCATACCTCGCGTATGCGCTACCAGAGGGTTGTTGTGGAAGACAAGCTCACAGAGAGAGGGGAAGAGAGCTGCTGGCAGGACAGCATCCTCCTTTGCGATCTGGAACAAGGGCAGGAGACATGTTAGTCAGTGCTCCCCACCCAGGTAAGGATGGCTGCAGGACAGATGTGAGAATGATGGACAGGAGGCCATGCCTTATCCCTGCACCACTGCCTGCTCAGGTACTCTTGCCTAAAGATTCTGTTACCACTGCTTTATTATATGAGAGCTTTGCCTGCGTGTATGCCTGTGTGACACATGTATACAGTGACCTCAGAGGCAAGAGGGTGTCGGATCTCTCTGAACTGAATTACAGTTGGTTTTGAGCTGTAGGTGCTCTCCAGCCCTCACTGCTGCATCTTTAAGAGTTAGAAATCTCTCTCTTATCCACACTGAACATATCCAGAGTATGAAGGATATTGGTGGCCAAATAATCAGAAGCATTTGTCTCAAAGAGCCTTGAGGGTTGGCACAGACGGCACTGGCTGTGGATGCAGATGGTCTTCCTCATGGCAAATCTGCAAACCCCAGCATTCCGTCAGCAACACTCCTTGGCACTTCTTTCCATTGCCCTACGCACCAATGGATCAGGTGAAGAGCACCAGAGGGCAGGGACCCACTTATCAAATAGAATGAAGCTGAGCCACGGCAAGGGACACCATATCATGGCTGGACATCTCAGGACTGGCTGGGGCCAGGGGCTATAGTGCTCCTGCGCACTTGGCCTGTAAGTGGTCAGGCCAGACTGCATGACAAAATTCACACAAGCATTGTTAAGCAGAGTAGCTAGAACATGGGGACAGCGGTGCGTTTCAGAGGAGCCCAGAGTGCAGTTGGACACAGGGACACAGAGGAACAAGGGTGGCAGGGGAAAGACAGACTCTTTAGATGGCTACTGGATCCTCACTGGACTGCACTGGAGTAAATGCCTTCTCATGGCTGGTCATCCAGCTATCCCAGCACTTGGTTCTCGAGATTGCAGGCCACTAAAGTTCATGTGAAGAGCCAGGCAGTAAGAGCTGGGACACAGTCTCTGCTCCTGACTCAGCCCTGGACAATCCATGAGCAAATTTAATTCCATATAATTTTAACACATCATGAAACGCTATCCTTGTTGAATGTACCTGAAAATATGAAGGCCACTCAGTCCAGAGGCTGCAGCAAGCCACTGGCTCACTCAGTTTCAATAGATCACCATCTTGCTTGTACTCATATCACCTCTGCAGAGCTAAGGGGCAACAACAGACTGATCTATCATCTGGCCTTTATTTAAAAAAAAAAAAATGCTGGGTTTGGGGATGAGGCTCAGTGGCAGAATGCATGCCTACCACGCTGAAAACACGTTACCAAAAAACTTGTGGGCCTGTGCGCTAGAGCCCAGAGAAGGAGGCTCAGCAGTCTCCAGGCTTGCCTGTGGTGTGTGTGATGGTGGCCCAGGACGGCAAAGGGAGAGGCAAGCACTACAATGGGATATGTAAATTAACTCAGTCAAGATATAAGATCCTGTTTATAATTAAAATACGAAGGAAGCTGAGTGGCACCCAGGGCATGTGGTTGCCCTGGGTGATGCCAAGCCCTAGCTGAAAGGCATGGACTCAGGGCTAGCTGATTGGCAGGCAGAATCTGATCCCAGGCTAGCTGCTCCCTACGGGGTGAGTCAGATGACTTCAGGGGCACAGTCAGGTTTCAGTGATAGCCTCCAATTTCTGTCCAACCCAATATAACAAATCTATGAGCTATTAAATACTGGTTAAAGTTTGAGTTAAAATGACTGTTTTGCTTTTGACACAACACTTCTAAGTGAACATCTAGGGAAGAGAACTTTTCTGTTTGGAGGCAGAATTGGTTTTTAAAGCTTGTACCTCTGGTAAACCAAACACTGGTTTTGAAACATGTATCTGTGTCTGTGGTGTGCTGCGAGCAGCATTCATGAAGTCTTAGTGCGCACTGTGCATCGTGTTATTCTGGATGCTAAGGATACGTGTGTAAGTAACACACAACATAACACTCGTACCAGGCAACTGACGAGGGGGCCACAGTGCCAGGAGTTAACTGTCATACAGAAATCATGGTCAGGACACAGGAGCACTACCCCACCCCAACAAGAACAAGCCAGGCAAGCCACGTCCCAACTGTTGTGAAGCTGGCAGAAAACTCTGGCTCACCTGTGGTCTTTGCCAGGGCTGCGTGTGCTTTAAGGACTAATTAACTAAAGACTGCAATGAATTGTTAAAATCAAACTGTGGTCAGAGCAAGGCAGTGAGGCTCCTGAGGATGTGGCTATGGTATGTGATAAGACCACAGAAAGCTTCGTCGTGGGACAGCACCACGTGTAACGTGCCTGGGGGAGAAGAGCTGCCCTTGCAGGAGAGGTTCCCTGCTGCCCAGAAAGAACAGCCAACCCCCAAACCTGGCATCTGGGAAAGGGAGCACTTGCTACTCCTGAGGTGGAGTAGAAAAAGCACCTGGGTCCTGCACAGTAGAGATCTGCTGCCATGGGGGCAGCACGGTAGGACCACGAGAACTGCTGTCTTGGAGAGACAGGACCACAGTGCTGCCCAAGGCTGGGGTTGGAGCCCATCTTGGGCTGGCAAGTGCCAAGGAACAAGCAACAGTAGTCTGCTAGGAAGCAGAGAAGCTAAGGGGATCAGCCAGAGATGCAGGGACCTGGGGGAAGACTGAGAGCTGCAGACGGGAGCAGCAGAAAACCACTCTCACAGCCTGTAGTCTGAAAGGGATGCGCTTTAGCACAGAGACATAGGCCACAAGTGCAAGGGTAGAGACATAGACTGATGCCCACGGAACCCACAAGTCAAAGACAAAACCACAGGGAAAATAAATACGTTAGGTGAACGAAAAACACGGGCTGGGTGTAGCTCAGCAGATGGACACGTGTAGTGTGCATGAGCGCTTGCATTTGTTCTCCAACAAGAAAACAGCCAAGGGTCTATACATAGAGAGGAAACAGCCGAAGTCAGACACATGGACTTTTCAATCTGTTGTGTTCCCCCAACCCCTTCACCTGATGAAACTCGATGACTCAGATCTAAGTTCAGACACCAATTTTCCTTGGCCAAACATGGGGTCAGACCCGGTAATCATACACTGCTTCACGGTGCTGTGTATTCCTCATAGCACCAACCATGCTGACATTGTGACTGCCTGTCCGGTGTCAGTCTCTCAGCTGACAAGCTCTGAAGGCCCATGACTTTTTCTTTTACACAGTCTCTCTTGCTCAGGCTAACCTCAAACTCACCAGGCAGCTGACCTTGATCCACCTGCCGTGTGGCAGGATCACAGGGATGTGCCACCACACCTACTTTATATGCCACACTGGGCACCGAAACCCTGGGTTTAACACATGTCGAGTGTACTCTATCAACCAAGCTCCAGCCCTAGTCTGGAGGTCTTCAAACGTGTACCCCGTGTCTAGCACAAAGGCCAGTACATGGCAAGTGCCAAATAGCCTTCCCTGCCTTGATAACCAGAGCCACACTATGCAGGGAAGAAATTGCTGGACTTCACATCCCTTCCTCCCATCCATGCCCCAAGGAAACATCAAAAGCGGTTACCTTGTTGTAGGCCAGGCTAAGGTATCTTAGCTCTGGGAAAGGTGGGGCCAGCGTCTGGTTCCTTGCTTTCAGTGACTTCACAGGAAGAATCTCAAATATGGGAGGAAGTGAACATATCTTGGCTGTCTTAGAAGGAAAAAAGTGAGAGTCAAAGTGTCACAATGATTTGAAAAAGAAAAAAGAAGCTGAGGCTGGCAGCAGTCAAATGCCCTTTCTATTGGGTGCAGTGAAAAGACCTCTTTGTGAGTCTGGCCAAAGGGACATTTGGGGTCATAAAGGCCAGAATTCTGACTCCACATTCTCTAAGGTCACACGAGCTAATTCTCCAGGGGCCAAAGTTCCAATTTCAAGTTCCCTGGGGACACAGAAGATAACAGGAATGTTGTAAAAAAAAGAGGCTCCTGCCCTTCCTCCAGCGGTGAGGCAACTTGGCTCTGGCTAGCCCTTCTGTGCAACTCAGCTGAAATTTCCCCGAAGGTAGAGGAGGTATTTACACTGATAAAGGCAACCAATCAGTCGATCAATCAGTTGTCTTGGCTAGAAGAGGGAGGGCAGGAGGGGACTGAGTGGGGAAAACTCCTAACCCCTAGGCCCTTAGCCCCCAGTTCTCATTCAGCATAGAGCAACAACTAAGACCCAGTGACCAGAGCCAGGCTCAGCCTGATGACAGGATGCCTCTTCATCTAGACCACCTGTTGTTGGCAGAGGCCACTCAGCTTGTTCATTGCTCAGCCCCAAAATAATCACACAGAAACTATATTATTTGCAATACCTTTTGGCCAATAGCTTAAGCATGTTTCTGGCTTACTCATATCTTAACCCATTTCTATTAATTTGTGCATCGCCACATCGCTGTGGCTTACTGGCAAGGTTCTGGTGCATCTGTCCCTGGCAGTGAATACATGGCATCTCCCTGACTCCGCCTTCTTTCTCCCAGAATTCAGTTTAGTCCCCCCCCGCCCCGCCTAGCCCTGCTATAAGCCTGAAAGCAGCTTCTTTATTAATCAATGGTAATCACAGCATACAGAGGGAAAACCCACATCACCTCCCCTTTTCTGTCTAAATGAAAAGGAAGGTTTTAAATTTAACATAGTAAATTACATATAACAAAACAGATATCAAGCAAGAATTATACTTATAATATATCTACTTTATATTTTATCATAACTAAAGAAACTATCATTATAACTATTTAATTCCATCAAAGACTCCAGAAGGATATAATATTACCTAAGTTAACAGGAAGAGCATTGTAAGCAACTTCCAAAAATTCTAGAATTGACAGAGACATTTGACTGCCTGGACAGTCACCCGAAGTTCTTCTGTACCATTGGGACATCCATCTTCAGCCTACTGGCCCATAGTATCCAGCAGACTTTTCCATGAAGCAGGGAATTTCAAAGACTATTCCACCTATATTGGGAGTTTCTCAGTCACTTTCTTCTGTGTCTTGTTGGATGTCAGGCAGATTCTTCCATTAAGCAGAAACCCTGAAAGATTGTCTCACCTTTAAGCAAGTTCAGCAGTCATTTCTCTGTGGGTCCTGCATGTTCAGTCAAGCAGTCCAGGCAAGAGCAGTTTCTTGCTCAAATGGCTAACAAACTCCATGAGGAGCCTCTTTGATGTCCATCATACTCTTGAAGTTATTGGTGCTGCCAGGAGCAGATGTGTCTCATTGTCATGAAAAGTCCTAAGTTCTTAAAACATTTTAAATGCCATATTCTGTAGTGTTTAAAAGGCTTGAAGAATGTCTATCCATCTGAAATACATCTCTGTACATCTAGAAAATCTAACATGGCTATAAGCTTGACTATTATATTAACTCTATATTAACCTGTATTTCTTAATTATACATTACATTTTAAATGAGCTGCACAAACACAATACTTTAAGAGCAGAAATATACAAATACCAAAATTGACCTAAGATTTATATCAATAGAGCAAGATCCATACCAATGCAACTCTCTGTAGCAAACTGTAGTTCCTGGGCTCCCTACAGCCTGGAGTGCCTCAGGGCCAACGTAGGATCAAGCATGAAAACGGAACTGATGGATTAACCATGCCAAACACTTACGTTCCATGAATTGCATGGATTCAAAGGACATGACAAGGGTAAGATTAATTGGGCTAACATGAACCAAGAGTCACTAACTGCTGTATGATCTTGATGTAATCATTCTACCATCCTTTGTTCCATAGGTGGATGTGTGGAACAACAACTTGGGGACAAATTATTTCATGTCCTTCTGAGCCAACTGGTAAAGCCACACAAATAAGGCAGGCCAGCATGAGGTAAAACAGAAATGAGCAATAATGATTCCTCTGGTCCATGTCACCCCTGCAATCTGAGAGAGCAGAGTACAATGACAGCAACAGAAATCTCTACTATTCAGCTCCCTGTGACAGGGATTGAAGGGCTGCCTCTGACTCCTTAGAGGCCTACAGCTATCTCTGTGCAACTCTCAACTTTTGGTCATATCCCTGCTCAAGTCCACACATACACATTTAAGGGGTCGCCATCATCCTTCAAGGCAGAAGACACAAGATAAGAGTAATTAAGACATGTTCAAGATTCTAGATGCAGACTGCAGGCAGATCACCCCCACCATGGGAAGAGAGGGAGAAGCAATTATCCCATAAGGCAGTGGAGGCTGCCCCTTGAGTGGGAACAGTCATCGCATGACTGAACCCCACCACCCACAAGCAATACTTTCCTGAGAGACTACATCCAGAACCAGACCTGAAATGATGGATGGGTCACACAGAGATGGACCAAGGCTGAAGGACTGTGTATACTTAGTGCCCACCACACAGTCTTGTTCTACCCCTACATAGCCTGGGCTCTTCTCAGTACCCCAGGACAAGAGTTAGTCACTGGTTCCCGTTCCCTCTCAGAGTGGTCACACTGCGTAATAAATTATTTTCTTCCTTGGCCACCACTTGTCTCCCTGAACTCTTGAGAAAGTAGGTGGCAACCATCTGGCCTGTTAGGACCCCTGCAGGGTCGGAATTGGAGCAAGACTGGGTAAGCAAAAAGGGAGAGTCAGGGTAGAGCACAGACCAGGAAACCCAGAGAACCAGGCTCAGAGTACTGAGGGCATGACTGACCCTCTCCTAGAGGGGCATGCATCTGATTTTCACAGAGAGGAGACCCATGACATCTCTACCTCCAGTTCACCTTCTGGTTTCTCAGGTACTGAACTGTAAAGCACTGACAATCCTGTCAACTGTCATTTCCAAGGAACATCCCTGGTCACAGGCTCTTCCATCCAATATGAATGTCCTTTTGCAATGTGACCCTTGACACTGCCCCACCCAAATGGGCAGCTGCCATTTCTATATTTCTAAAAGTATGCTGGCTGCCTTTTGGCAAAACATTTATCTGGTTTCTGTCCCAGACTCCTGGCATTGAGCTTCTAAAGCCCTGGGTGTTTCCTAAGTGATGCCTGTCTGTTACCAGGGTTTCCTCAGTGATGGCCTGTCTGTTACCAAGGTTCCTTGAACCACATTTCCATTTGGCTAGTGGGATGTGGATCAGACCCAGGTGGAGTGTCGGGCTCTGAGCTCAAACACGCATCTGAGAAGATGCTCTACCAAAGCTGCAAGCTGAGGCTCAGGAGAGCTTCCTGGTGGGTAAGTACATTGACTTACCTGCCAGGAGGGCGGGATGCCAGGTTCCCTGGGGTAGGTACACACGTTTTGCACCTTAGGAGCCTTCTCATTCTGCTGGCCTCATTTTTTGTCCTTTCTATCACCACTGCGGTTGTTTGATCCTTTCTCAAGTTCTCTGAGTTCTACAAAGTACTGAACCTCAGAGGAGAGGGTTGTGGGGACTCCCAAGTTTATAGCTCGTCAGTCACAGTGTGGACATCTTACTGTCTTCTTCCTTCATGACTGGCACCTAGAGTGAGGGCAGTTTTCTTAGGAACTCTACCCCTAAACTTGATCTTAAGCTCTGGGCTGGTTAGTGTTAACACTGTTGTCATCCTGCCCTCTAGTTTGCTGTGACAAAAGAATGTGGCCAATGTGACCGTTGGAATTTCACACTCTTCTGTGCTTGCTTGCTCTCTTGAGACCTGAAACTGCCCTGTTGAGACCACGGTGTAAAGACAATGTGGAAAGGCCAGGGCACACTACATCCTTTGAAGCTCAGCTGCCAGCTGGCCTGCAACACCAGCAGAACCATCTTGCTAGCTCCAGTAATTCTGGGAAGTAATCAGCTGAACTGAAGTCAGTCAGTGGTCAGTAGTTTTGTTGTGCAACCACAGTTAACCGGTACAGTTTCTGACACAGTTGTATCTGTGCGGAGGTAGCTCATCTCTCAAGGGTATGATTGGCTGGATATAGATATGCACACCTTGCTGCAAATGGAGGCATCAATATTTAGTCTACAAGTATCCTCTCCATGAACCTGGTTAGTGAGCTCTGCCCTGAGATTAAAACCAGTCTTCTCTGTTGACAAAATCAAATGGTACACCTTTGACAGCGAGGCTCAGATCTGGGCAGCAGTATAGCCAGCAGGAAATCTACTTTTTGAGGCCTTTGTGAGAAGGCTCTTCTGAGTTCCCTCCTGGTGGCAGGCTCAATTTTATAACCTGAGATAGCTTTTGTCACTACTCTCTGCTAAACAGTGTATGAAGGCAAGAGAGGGGCAAGCCTGTGGAACGATGAGGTCAGGGCCTGGTCAGTCAGTTCCCTCGCCACGTGCCCAGTGGTCAGCATAGGACTGAACCTCAATAGGTGCTCAGCAAAGACTTGTTCACTTAGTGTGACCTAGAGAAATGTCTCTTGTGGATCTGTTACAACTATAGGACCTTTCACCGTGTTGGGGAGCAGGAACCCAGGTGAGACTGGAAGTGGGACGACACCCACTCTGTCTGTGGAAGGCCATGGGTTCATCCCTACACGGACAGGGAGCAAACAAACACAAACGTGAAGCAGCAGTTCCTCCTACCTCTGAGGTTGAAAATCCAGGGTAAGATGAGAACACAACCTCTGAAATGACAAAAGACAGAGGAAAGGTTGGTGAGAACACCCACTGATCTCAGAGGGTCGCGGCACACCCTGAGCTCATGAGGCAATCACAGCTCTGATCGCCAGTCCTCACAGGAATCGCCACGGAGGAAGGCATATGCTAGTCACCTCCTGGACCATCACGGCCGAGGGGCAGGGGTCTTGCCCAGGGAGTGCAAGACTGACTCAACACTGATAAAGTCCATCCAGAGTTATCTTACCCCTTCAAATAAAGAAATGTGGTATCCCCACCCCATCAATCTATTGTAGAGGTTGGCAGTGCATGTCTCTAATCCCAGTACTGGAGAGACAGAGGCAGGCAGATTTCCGTGATCAGCCAGAGCTACATGGTGAGAGACCCTGTCCCAAATTTTTTTCACCTTCCCACTACCAAAAATCAATCCATGTAATTACCAGCTCAACAGATTTTTTAATTTATTTTAATTTTTCATATTTATTTGTTTATTTATTATGTAAACAATATTCTGTCTGCGTGTATGTCTGCAGGCCAGAAGAGGGCACCAGACCTCATTACAGATGGTTGTGAGCCACCACGTGGTTGCCGGGAATTGAACTCAGGACCTTGGAAGAGCAGGCAGTGCTCTTAATCACTGAGCCATCTCTCCAGCCCAACAGATGTTTTTTTAAAAAAATAAATAAAATTCCCACCAGCAATGGATGAGTGTACCCCTTACTCCACAACCTCTCCAGCAAACTTGTGCAACCACTTTGGAAATCAGTGTGGCAGTTTCTCAGGAAATTCGGGATCAACCTACTCCAGGACCCAGCAAACTCTTGGGAATATACCCAAGAGATACCCTATCATATTACAAAAGCATTTGTTCAACTATGTTCATAGCAGCACTGTTTGTAATAGCCAGAACCTGGAAACAACCTAGATGACCTTCAATGGAAGAATGGATGAAGAAAGTGTGGAATATATACATATTAGAGTACTACTCAGAGGTAAAAAACAATGACATCTTGAATTTTGCATGCAAATGGATGGAAATAGAAAACACTATCCTGAGTGAGGTAACCCAGACCCAAAAAGATGAGCATGGGATGTACTCACTCATAATTGGTTTCTAGCCATAAATAAAGGACATTGAGCCTATAATTTGTGATCCTAGAGAAGCTAAATAAGAAGGTGAACCCAAAGAAAAACATATAGTCATCCTCCTGGATATTGGAAGTAGACAAGATTGCTGGGCAAAAATTGAGAACTTGGGGGTGGGGTGGGATGGGGGTAAGGGGAAATGGGGAGAGAAAAGTAAGAAGGGGAGGATGGGGGGAGCTTGGGAGAATGGGATGATTGGGATAAAGGAAGGGTGGATATGGAAGCAGGGAAGTATATATCCTCATTAAGGGAGCCATCTTAGGGTTGGCAAGAGACTTGACTCTAGAGGGGCTCCCAGGTGTCCAGGGAGATGTCCCCAGTTAGTTCCTTGGGCAGCTGAGGAGAGGGAACCTGAAATGGCCCTATCCTATAGCCATACTGATGAATATCTTGCATATCACCATAGAACCTTCATCTGGCAGTGGATGGAGATAGAGACAGAGACCCACATTGGAGCACCGGACTGAGCTCCCAAGGTCCAAATGAGGAGCAGAAGGAGGGAGAACATGAGCAAAGAAGTCAGGACCGCGAGGGGTGCACCCACCCACTGAGACAGTGGGGCTGATCTATTGGGAGCTCACCAAGGCCAGCTGGACTGGGACTGAAAAAGCATGGACTCTCTGAACATGGCAGACAATGAGGGCTGATGAGAAACCAAGGACAATGGCACTGGCTTTGTGGGAGCCTAGCCTGTTTGGATGCTCACCTTCCTAGACCTGGATGGAGGGGAGGGAACCCTGACTGCTCTTTGGACTGGAGAGGGAGGGGGAGAGAAGTGGGGGGAGGGGGAGAGAAGTGGGGGGAGGGGAGGGAAATGGGAGGCAGGGAGGAGGCGGAAATCTTTTCAATAAAAATAAATAAATAAATAAAATTCAACACTAATTCACAGGGGGAAAAAAGACCTCTCAGCAAACTAGGAATACATGCAGATTTCATTAAATTTGATATAAAGTGTCTATAAAATATATGCAGCTAATATACTTTAGAAATACTGAACACTTTTCTCCTAAGGTTGGGAAGAAAAATTCACATCATCACTTCTATTCAACACCATACTGTTTGGGTCAGCCAATAAGGTGATAAGAAGGTGCTAAGAACTATTACGACAAGAAAAGAACACACATGGGGCTGGAGAGATGACTCAGTGGTTAAGAGCATTGCCTGCTCTTCCAAAGGTCCTGAGCTCAATTCCCGGCAACCACATGGTGGCTCACAACCATCTGTAATGATGTTTGGTGCCCTCTTCTGGCCTGCAGACATACAGACAGAATATTGTATACATAGTAAATAAATAAATATTAAAAAAAAAAGAACACACATATAGGGCATCATTTATAGATGCTGCCACCATGGACACAAAGAATTCAGGAGAGCCTGCAAGTGGCTGGAAGAGAGAAATAAACTTGGAAATGTTGTTGGTGATAGGAGTTTAATATGTCTGTGTACTAGCAATAAATGATGGGACTGAAATATAAAAATCAACACCATTGATAGCATAAAAAGAGATCAAAAATCTAGGAACATAGTTAATGATAGATGTGCATGGTCTTAGCCTTGGCAACAACAGAACACTCCTGGGAGGAGTTTTAGAAGACCCTGGAATCAGGCTGGAGAGATGGCTCAGTGATTAAGAGCACTGGCTGCTCTTCCAAAGGACCTGGGTTCAATTCCCAGCACCCACATGGCAGCTCACAATCTTGTGTAGCTCCAGGCCCATGGGAACCAATGCCCTCTTCTGGTCCCTTTGGGCACTGCATGCATGGGGTGTACAGAAGTACCATGTAGACAGAACACCCTTGAAAACCGATAGGCTGTGTTCTTATACTATTCTGGAAGACATTATTTCCACCCTGACCTATATAGTCAGTGCACTTCCAAACAAATCCCAGTGGGACCCTGTTGGAAATGGACAATTCCTAAATCTAGGTGGAAACGTTGGGACCTTTAGTGATGCCAGGAGTTGTTGGGCACAACGGACCTCAAGAACTTCACTCCTGAGCAGCTAACCTAGTTATGAAGCTACAGTGCTTTCATTTATGGAACTGTTTCAGTGTGGAAGGGTAGCAGGGTATGGCAGGGAGACTGTGTTAAAAATATATTTGCAGCCAGGTGGTGGTGCACACCTTTAATCTCAGCACTTGGGAAGCAGAGGCCTGTGGATCTCTGTGAGTTCAAGGCCAGCCTGGTCTACAGAGCGAGTTCCAGGATAAGCTCCAAAGCTACACAGAGAAACCCTCTCTCAAAAAACACTTGGTCAGGCCAGTGGCAAGACCAAGCTCAGGTCTGGCTGCAGTCAGCCCCACCCCCACCCCATGTGTGTAGTTACCAGGAGGAAGTGAGACATCTGAGAGCTGTCAGGAAGAATGACTTTTGGAAGCTACAGTGACACACACACTGTCACCCGACAGTGTCTCCCTACTCAGTGGGGAGCACAGGTCTTCCAGTTAATGGTGCTGGGTCACAAAGCACATACATGCAAGCACGCAGACGCTGACTCCGCCTTACACCATGTATGAAAACCTTAGGCAGATCATTGACCAACATTTGAGCACTCGAGCTTCTCCATAGTCTTGAGAGAGGCTCCAAAGTCTTAAAACAGGATAGAAAAACAATGACATAAAATAATGATGAATCAGATTTAATTGAAAGGACTTCTGTCCATCAAATGCCATTAGCATGAACATGGCCTGGGAGTTGTAGCTAGTTGGTAGAGGGCTAGCTGAGCATTTGTGAGCCTCCGACCTTGATCCCAGCAGTGACAGAACAGGAGGAAGAGGAAAAACAGCAGGAGGAAGAAAACAAACTACCCAGTAGGAGATTTCTGTAACATTTTTAAAGGATTTGTGTCCACAGTTATAAAGAATCTGGCAAATAAAGAAAAAGATATGCACTCCAACTTAAAAACAGGTAGAAGTCGAGTATTTCCCAAAGAAACACTGAATTGATAACACAAACAGACAACAACATCACTAATTATCTGAGATGGGAATGAAACCACCATGCGATACCACTACCTACCCAGCAGGACAGCTAACCTCAACTTTCAAGCATTGATGATGTTATAGAGTAGCTGCGAATCACACACAGCAGAGTGGACGCAAACGCTGGGACAGCCACACTGGCAAATGCTCACAGTGTCTGGAAATGCTCAACAGACTTGGAGATGTGTAACAGGCAAGTTCTCTCCTGGGCATATCCCCAAGGAAGTGGGGGCATGTGCCCATCAAATGATGAGAGGGTGCTCACAGCAGTTCACAGCCTCCCACTAAGTACATCTCATCAGTAAAAAGGAAATAAATCATGGTGTGCGGAGTAAATAGGAGCAAGGGAAAGATGTGTGCAGTAATATTAACCCAATGACAACACTGAGTGAAACGGCACCAAGTCCAAGCTGTGCAGTTCCACACATGAACTTCAAACTGGACAAGGGAGGTTACTCTAGGTGGAGGGAATGTTCTGGATTGTGATGTGAGTGATGGGTAAACAGGTGGCAGATGCAGAGGAACACAGGATGTCCAACCCAGACGTGTGCCCTCTATACCCTAGACAGCGTGGGCATGTGTCTTTCCTTTCTGTCTCAGGAGGATGCCATGTGGACGTGACCCTAGGAACTGGGGAGCCATCCTGAGAACCTCATAGGAATCAGCAAGCCAGTGCCCAAGGAGGGTAGAAAGGCCCAGAGCCCTTGAAGACATGGATGCTGCTCAGGCTTTCCCGACTCCTGAGTTTCTTAATATATGAGAATTTTTACAAGAATTATCCACTTTTAGTTGGAGTTGGAGAGCACCTCACCTGACAGAAATGGTTAGGAAGTCTAAGCCGTTCATTTACAGTACAGGGGCTCCCAGAACCAACTCCCAGAAGCCCATTCCCTGATGGAGCAAGCATCGGGACCCAAGGACATGGCTCACCTGTGCGGTCAACGTCCTTCTTCATGGGCAGTACAGTATAATTTGGCTGCTCATCCGGGGTCTCAAATATCCACGTCTGGGGCTGTAGCTCTTTCTGCGCATTCGGCCCCTCTGTAACCCAGTCCCCTGATGCTCCATCACCGAGCTGAACCTGTTGTAGGTACGGGATCCGGAAAATCTTGTTTTGGTCCAGGCTCAATTTCTTCAGTCTTCAATTAAGGAAAGTAAATTCAGAATCACATCAGTGATACCACCTCTGGGGTATTACTGAGCAAGATGGATTCAGGCTTGGACATGGACACCTGTTGTGTAACCTTGAGATGGGGGGCACTTACCTTCTCTGTGGCCCGATGGCCTTACCTCATAATGGGGATGAGGTTTATTAATCTTTAAAGCTCTAGTGAAGACTAAATGAGACAGTATGTAAACAGCTGGGCACAGGAGAACTCAGTAAATAGTAACTAAATTCCAAGCAGAACTTGGCAGATAAAGTTCTCTATGTGTGGTTTTGTGTGTGTGTGTGTGTGTGTGTGTGTGTGTATGTAGGTGACTTGTCTTCTTTTTCAGGGTCAGGGTTTTCTACCCTGGGTGGTGGCTAATCCTACACACGACCAGAAATAACCTTCCTGATGCTGCCTTTCTCTGCCAGGCAAAGCTCAGAGAGAGAATTGCCTTGCCCAAGGCCACACAGCAGAGACCTCTGGTGGAGCTGGGATTTTGCCCCATGCAGCACTCAGGGTGTGAGCCCCACTGGGTTGGGGATGGTGCAGAGGGGGGCTGTGACATTACCTCCTGAGCCCAGCCAGGCTGGCAAAGCAGCTGGGATTGGACAGTTTGTTGTCATCCAGCATCAGGGTCTCCAGGGCCGGGAACCTCAGAATGTACTTCTTGCTCGTCAGTGATGTCATGGATGCCTCCCTGTGGGCGCAGAGATCTTGGGTACTGAGCAAAGGTAGCGATGAGAGCCACTATCCCCAGGAAGAAGGGGAGGACAGGGAGCTGACCAGGGGGATTAACCAGCTTCAAAACTTCCCTGGTGCCAACAAGAGATCCATGCAGAAATGATCAGAAGGTATAATTCCCACCCACTGGCCCCTCCCCCAAATTCTGCCTGTCCACACTGGCCACTGCATAGGGAAATTTCACTGACAGTGGGCTAGGCTGGGGTAGTCGGGTCAGCAGCTGTGCTGATGGTCAACACCAGCGTGAATGAAGCATGACTAAGTTGTATAGAAAACGTTGCAGATGGCACACTGTACAGTTCTGGCCAGAGGCGGACTCCTGGGTATCCTTTGTTGTCCACCCTGGGGACGGGTAGCCACGGGAACAATATGCTCTTAGCTTGGACCATGGCCGTGCCATCAAGGTTTCCTTGAAGAATTCCCAAAACACCTGAGAGTAGGATTTAAGAGGCTGAGGTCCTGATGTGCGCAGGAAGTGGCACACAGGTGGGCAGGAAGTAGTGCCATTTAGGTGTGACTGTTAATGTGGCCTTGTGCTTCCAAGGTGGATGAGGCCTAGGTTGCTCTAAAGACATAGGGGCAGATGACTCCGATCTCAGTTTCGTCCCTCCCTGCACATTCCGCTTCAGTCATAAAATATGCACACATCCCATGCATGAGATATAGGCACACAGGCAACCAGTGAGTGAGCAACATTTCCCCAAGCCTGCTTCGTTCCAGCACATGTCCTTTGAGGAGATCAGTGGGAGGGGTACTGTCCACCTGCCTGTCAATCAGGATGGGTATGCTTATTTTGTTGGAAAGTTTTGTCTGTGTTTTCTGGTGTTCTGTAAGTTTTGCTGCAGGCATGGAGCTGAAACAAGAATGGTTTGGATATTTCTGCTCACAGCAGCCAGTCACCACCTACTGCTGTGGTTACATTTATGATCATGACTGAGAGTTTGTCTCTGAGCTCTGGTCACTGGATTCGGGTTAGCAGGAGCTCAGATATCTTTTGCTATAGATGACATTAAAACTGTCTTATGCTGTTCTTATTAAAAAGCTGGCTCTTCCTTCGCTAAACCCAGCACACTTATTTAGAAGTTTTCTCTATGTCGCTGTGTTTGTCTGAGCCCCTGACACAGCGCCAACACAGAAAACAACCAAACAATTTAGAGATGGTTTATGTGAACACTCTCTACTTTAAAATTCCTAAGTTTATTTGATTAGATATGGTTAAAAATCTTTTAAAATTAAAACAAAGCTAGCTAAAAATTAAAGCCAGTGACACTGGAAATTGGTGATTAAAAATCTGTACATGGGTAGTTGTAAAGGACACACAGGACATGATTCCAGTTTGGATTGCCACCATTCTTTACTCAGGTGTTGCCATTCTGCTGGAGTTAAAGAAAAGATGGCTGTCACAGGATTTCTCCATCATCTGGATTAGAGACAACCACGTGAGATGAGCCTGACCAGGAGACAACAGATCTCCAAGGTAGATTTTCATATGGTAATTCATGTCCTGTCCTAAACACAGGGTTTATAGAAAATAATTAAAATATTAAATCTGCACCTCAAAGCTTTTGTATACAGAAATATACCTTGCTCTGGCAGCTGAACTTTGTAGTTTAACGTCACCCAGGTGACAATGATTATAAAGAAAGACATGAAGGGATCAGAGGGAACAGCTGAGGTCTACAAATGTATGGCAGGACTAGAGTCCCAAACAGAGTCCAGTCACACGGATGGACCTTAGGAGTTTTAGAAGTGCCAGTGCCAGGTGACAGTCACCAGAAGCACCGGGTACAGTGAAGTGGAGCAGGCTGAGATCTAAAAGGCAGGCTGTGTACACACTGCCGGGAGTGAGTCAAAGGGGGATCCAGGCCGCTCAAAAAGAAAAAAAAAAAGATACTTCGATAAAAAAAAAAAGGTTCTTGATACTACAGGAAGACATTTAAGAGATTTAATTTTTTTTAAAATAAAGGGTTTCTCTGTGTAGCTTTGGAGCCTGTCCTGGAACTCGCTCTGTAGACCAGGCTGGCCTCAAACCCATGGAGATTCACCTGCTTCTGCCTCCAAGTGCTGGGATTAAAGGCTTGTGCCACCACCTTCCAGTGAGATTTAAATTTTAAGAACAGTTTTTAAAATACTTAAATTTATAAGGCTATGGGACATTTGTGCTTATAAAATGCTTTATATTGTTAATATTTGTACTTAACAGAAAAGGCTAAAAATTAGGGTCACAGCCACAGGCACCAAATGCTAACTGGAATTAACTGGGGAGTTACTTTCTTGTGATGCAGCAGGACAGCAACCTAAGCTGTCCGACAAAGGGCCTGGAGCAGTTCAGCCCACCGAGTCTCAGCCCTTTGGGGGGCTAATAACAAACCTTTTACAGGGGTAGCCTAGGACCACCTGCATGTCAGATGCTTACATTAAGAGTCATAACAAAACTCCAGCTGTAAAATAACGGGAAAAACTGTAATGGGGAACTATATTAAAAGGTCAAAGCATTAAAAAAGTTGACAACCAGTGGCTTAGAAATGTCTTTCCGCACTCAAGGTCTATTCAGGCTTAAACATTTACGTCTAGCCTCCTTCTCTTTCCCAGCTTTGCTAAGCTTAAGCTATTTGGATAAACTGAATCATATAAATATTTTATGTTTCACTAAAAAGAGCTTCAATTCAAAATCATTTTTAAAGCTAAATCTGACAGAAATGTAATGTAAAATCTTAGCCTTATAAAAGCGGCTCGGTACTTGTGAAGGGGAGAATGTAGGACCTAGTCATGACAAGCTCAATAGGGGCCTGAGTTCCAGATTGGACCACCCAGGAACAGATCACAGGGTGGGGGGAAGAGTACTTAACATTCCAAAGGAGAAGCCTAAAGTTCCAACCATTGTAAATGGGATCACCTGATATCCCTTAGCCCAGCACATACCCATCCCCTTTCACCAGGGCACCCCTAAGACAAATGTCAGCCAATCAGAGGTCCTGAACCTTAGAAATACCTCACACCCCACCCCAGGTGAGCTTGAGACTCTCTGATCACACCAATGCATTGGCAATGCGTTGGACACACGAGAATCCAAATTTGAACTTGAATAAAAGTTTACTTTTACATCTAGGATCCAGTCTCCTTGTTGGTTTTTCAGGGCACTCCGTGATCTGGGCATCACGGACACAAACCGACTAACTCAGAGGAAGCTCTGGCAGGGACTTGCTTTACTTTATGCAGCAAAGCTTCCCATGGAGACACCAGAGTCATGAATAGTGCGCGAAAAGGAAAGAGAGGCCTCGTTTTCAAACCTGCCGGAGGTCACAGTGTACTGAACCTAAATCCCCAAGACAGAACTGAATCTAGGAGGCTGGGCAGCCTCAAGGGCTTTGGTGATCCTGTTGGAATTGAATTATGGCTTAACAGCCTGGAGAATCAAAACCTAGAGCGCGCTGACAGAGGGGCATCCAGTGCAAGTCAGAGATGTTAAAGGGTTCTCCACCCTCAGGAGGGCGTGAACCCCTTAAAGCCCCCTCCTCCCACAAGCAGGAAATGTCTGGGAATGAGCAGAGACGGAGAGTTTGTAAAGCTGTACCTCTGGACACCCGGCCAAAGAAATGGAAGCGCTGATGTTGTCGTAGACTGCTGCGCACCGTGCCCCCCGTGTCTGGGCTCTGTGTGCTATTAACCAGTTCGCGAGCTTCAGGCAAGGGGGCTGGAGGTTGAGAATACACATGCAGAGACAGACCAACATGCAGACCTTTTAACACTGATACCAAAGCCCCAAGAATGCCCCCTTTATTGTGTTCAGGGGCAGATTATGTAGAGATAGGCACGCCCCAGTCAAACCCACCAGAAACCACTCTCCTGCCATCAGGAACTCCTGAAGGTCTCGTGCTCAGCGCAGCTGTAGGCACTCAGATCAGGAGAAAAACAAGTTGTTTCACTGCTCCCAACAGTAGACAAGTAATGTAGGCCAACTTATCTGAGGTGCCCCTAAACTCATAAGATGTGAGGGATTATGGGGCTGAGTTTTAGGAAGTGACCCAAAGGCTACTTTCCCCAGAGCTGTCTGCCCACTACAGGAATGACAGGCAGGCTGGAAAGTTGACTGGAAAGTCTGTTGATAGTACCAATGAGGGTCCTTGGTGTGCCCCAGAATGGGAGCCTAGGAAAATGCCTATGGGTAAAGTTTAGGGAACCAGAGAACTAAACCCCAAGAGACAGTGTGTACTAGAAATACTTTCAAATAATTTCAGTTACTGTAACCGAATTAAGAAGGTTTGGAATTATCCATGTAGAATCTACACTAGATAATCAGAGAGACTCTCAGTATGTCAAGAAAAAAGTGATTTAAGTTGTTAAAAGGGAGAGTTGGGACTTTTCATTTGGTTCGGTATTTGCATTTAAATTAGATGGAATTGGGTTTAAATGAAAGAGAAAAGCAAGCTCTTGCCTCAGAGCAGCTCATTTGAGCGAGTGCTTGCTATGACTGTAGCTACCACACAGAGCGCCACCCACACAGAACAGCAAGCAGCACCGTACAGTGTCCAGCTGGACTTGAACAAACCATCAGATGACACCTGCTGGCTGGCGTGGGTCTCTGGGGATGTGGAAGGCACAGGGGCGGCGGAGGGGGTGGGGGCTGCCATTCAGCATGGGGACTGTGGAGGTCAGGGGAAGGTTAGAATTCCCCCCACAGCTTGAATTAGACGCACTAACCAAGTGACAGAACACCCACGCTTGTTTACTCAGCCCCAAACTGGGGGACTGTTGCTATGGAAAACGCCATGCTGGAGCTCTAGAACACCTCCCTAACAGTAAACTGAAAACTCCATTGTCATCCCGAGGTCACTGCAGAGAGAGCGGTGCTGGCATGGACGCATGGGAACAGGAAGGCTGTCAAATCATATGACATTCCCATGGAGCACCCCCTGCTCATCTGCCTTGTGCAAATGTCAGGCCTTGAAGAATGACTGCAGATTACGGCATCTTAACTCCCTGGTGACTCCCTCTCCAGCTGTTGTTGCAGATGTGAAAGCTTTGTATGGTAAATCAACAGAGCTTGTGGCACTTGGAGTGGATCTGAGAACCTGAAAATGGACCCTTCTCTTTATCAGTTAATTGGACTTCCAGAAATAGCTTGCTTTAATCTGACGGGGACTTGTGTATACCTGTGCCCTTTTCCCTCAGGGTCACATGAACTTCAAGCCCTATTATGATCAATCCATAAGAATTTTCATTATTTTCATGTCCCACAGGAAACATCATGCTGACTGGACTTGGTAATACAGTCACACAGACACACACACCCCAGATGGCACAGTAAGGCTCGCCTGTGTCACAGGCTAAAGGTAAACCACACCTAATTTCCTTGGTGCTCAGGTATGTGGAGCATGTCAGGCTGCATTGCCTGTACAAAGCTTCATTGGTCCCGCTGGGTTCCAGGAACCACAAGTGCAGCACTTGTGGCATTCAGACCCGCTGACTAATTTCTCCCGACCACCAGTTTTCAGGACAAGGCTCTTCAGCAAGCCCACCCAGGTGCTGACGGTCCAAAGCAACAGATGTGTCACGCAGACAGGGTTGCTGCGTTTCCTGTTTTTCAAGTGAAGCTTGCATTTCTCCATTTTCTCAAGCTGTTCTTTTATTCTCGCTCAGTTATGTACTGGGTTGGGTGATGAATGACAATGCTGTGCTATAAATAGAACCCTTTGTAGGCAGGAATGTCGGAAACCATTAAGAGAAAAATATTGCCCCTTTTCCTTTGGAAAACCAGTTTTTGGCAAAGACTGAGATACACATGAGACACAAATGGCCATGTGATGTGAGTCATTCATCACGAACCAGATGTCTGACTGATGGGACTCATCTAGCGACAGAAATGTGCTTTTGAAAATAATGGGCACATTTAAAATGTATTTATGGAGCACTATGCGATGCTTTGAAAATATATACATTATGTAATGTTTGGATCATCATACACACATCTATTTTCTCAAACACATATAATATTCCAAATCTTTTCTTCTCGTTTCTTTTTTTCTTCCTTCCTTCCTTACCATCCAGCACATACTTATAATTGAGAACTCACTTCTCCTCTATACCTGTCGACCCCCTCTTCCCATTGTCCTCTCCCAGCTCTCCTCAGCCTCTATTTCATTCTGCTCTCAGCATCTATGGGATAAACTTTTCATTATTCTGTGTGTGGGGAGGTTATGGTGTATGTGTGTGGGGTGTATTGTGTGGGGTGTATGTGTGTGGGGGTGTATGTGTGTGGGGGTGTATGTGTGTGTGGGGAGGATGTATATGTGTGTGGGGAGGATGTATATGTGTGTGTGTGGGTGTATATGTGCGTGTGGGTGTATGTGTATGGGTGTGGAAGGTGTATGTGTGTGGGGGGTGTATGTGTATGGGTGTGGGAGGTGTATGTGCGTGTGTGGATGTATGTGTATGGGTATGGGGGGTGTATGTGTGTGTGGTTATGGTGTATGTGTGTGGGGTGTATTGTGTGGGGTGTATGTGTGTGGGGGTGTATGTGTGTGGGGGTGTATGTGTGTGTGGGGAGGATGTATATGTGTGTGTGTGGGTGTATATGTGCGTGTGGGTGTATGTGTATGGGTGTGGGAGGTGTATGTGTGTGGGGGGGTGTATGTGTATGGGTGTGGAAGGTGTATGTGTGTGGGGGGGTGTATGTGTATGGGTGTGGGAGGTGTATGTGCGTGTGTGGATGTATGTGTATGGGTATGGGGGGTGTATGTGTGTGTGGTTATGTGTATGGGTGTGGGGGTGTATGTGTGTGTGGTTATGTGTATGTGTGTGTGGGTGTATGTGTGTGTGTGGTGTATGTGTGTATGTATGTGTGGGTGTATGTGTGTGTGGGTGTATGTGTGTGTGTGGTTATGTGTATGTATGTGTGGGTGTATGTGTGTGGGGGTGTATGTGTGTGTGTGGTTATGTGTATGTATGTGTGGGTGTATGTGTATGTGTGTTGGTGTATGTGTGAGTGGTTATGTGTATGTGTGTGTGGGTGTATGTGTGTGTGTGGTGTATGTGTGTATGTGTGTGTGGGTGTATGTGTGTGTGGGTGTATGTGTGTGTGGGTGTATGTATGTGTGTGTGGTTATGTGTACGTATGTGTGTGTGGTTATGTGTATGTATGTGTGGGTGTATGTGTATGTGTGTCAGTGTATGTGTGAGTGGTTATGTGTATGTGGGGGGGTGTATGTGTATGTGTGTGGGGTTATATGGTGTATATATGCACATGTCTATGCAACTGGGTTCATCCATGTGTGGGGGCAGAGGTCAAGGCCAGGGGTCTTTACCACTTTCTACTTTTTTCTCTTGAGACAGGGTCTCTCACTGAAGCTGGATGTCACTGTTTGGGGACCCCCTAGAGGCCATCTGCCTGCCTGCCCTAGTGTGAGAGTTACAGGTGGGTACCCAGACACACCCCAACTTTTACCCTCTGAAACATTCCCTACCTCCTTTTTAAAAAAAAAATAAAAGTAGGATTTCATGTTTCCCAGACTGACCTCAAATTCACAATGTATTCTCAGACTTCAGATCCTCTTGGCTCCACTTCCCAAGTTCTAGGATCAGTTGCCACCTAGTTTGTGTGCTGCTGGGAATTGAACTCTGGGCTTTGTGATGCTAAGTATATTCACTTTACCAACAGAGCTCAATTCCCAGCTGGGTTTCACAAATCAGATTCCAAGTTTGAGTGAGATCTCTCAGTATTTGTCTTTCCACGTCGGTTTCAGAATGTCTGAAATTCCCGTGGTGCCTAGTCCAGTCTCCCATCAGCTCACCACCAAAGAAAGCCCTGCACCTGCTAGATGGGGGAAATGCCTCCACTGTACTCGAAAATTATTCCGTATTGATATGCCAGCATCAATGAAAAATGAGCTGTCATGGTTAGCTCTACACAGCAGTAAAGCTTACAGCAACGCATCTGATTGTCCATGCGCTTGCGTGGAGAGAGAGAGTCAGAAGTACAGATCTTCTCCAGGCAGTGGGTGGATAATAAAAGCTTGTTAAAAAAAAAAATGACTGCTAACGGGTGGCTGGGCTGATCTCTGGACTTTCAGATGGATGGAGGGTAGAAGGCTATTTCTGTCCTCTGTGGGTGTACATACTGCAGAGATCCCAGCCATCAGATGGACAAGGTGACCTAATTCTGTGATTGTTAGGCGGCCAACTGGCCTCCACAGCAGGGAGGAAGACTATGCACTTCTCGTCCTCAAAGCACACAGTGCATCATCTGCCAGCAGCAGAGATCACCGCTGTGCCCCAAAGGCACCTTTTCAGGAGTTCGAGCAGTCCAGTGGGGACAGACTGGCTGCAATACATCCCTTCCTTCACACTTGAGTGTTTGTCCCTATTAAAGTGATCCGGCAGTTTGGGATCTGCCCACAGTGTTCTACATGGAACTGCAGTATTATTACAGTAATACTGTGTTGACTGAGTATTGACATAAATACAATCTTTGTTTCTGCTTAGGGCTTTGGGTTCTGTCTTTCATCCTAGTCTCAAGTCACGCCCGCCTAACACTTCCTGTAGAGGAGGTCTACAGGTGAGAAGTTCATTTAGCTTTTGCTTATCTTGAAATGCCTTAGTTTCTCCCTTACCACAGAAAGACGGCTTGTTTTTATGTGTGTGTGTACCTGTGAATGCAGGATCTACGGGAGCTACACAGCATTGAATTCCCTGTAGCTGAAGTCCAGCAGGCCATTGAAAGCTCCTGGGTGTGGCTGCTAGGAATAGAGACTGGGTCCTCTCAAGGGTAGCATGGACTCAGTCATCCCTCTAGCATCCTGAAGGGCAGGAGACATGGGACTCCTGGTAGGCAGGTTTTTCTTTTAGCACTCTGAATATGTCAGACTTCTGCCTTCTAGCTGCCAAAGTCAAGAATCATCTGATACTCTTACTGAGACTCCGTCATGGGAAGGGTCATTTCCCTTGTACTGGTTTCAAACTTCTCTTTATATCTTTGACACAAATTATAGTGTGTGCACCAAGTTCACTGGGCTTCACGGATGCTTATATTCATATAAAGCTTGGGAACTTATTATAGGGTCATTATTTCTTCAAATAATATCTCTCTCTCCCTCCCTGCCTGCCTTGTTCCTCCCCCTCTCCTTTTCCTCCTCCCTCTTTCCTTCCCTCCCCTCCCTCCCTCCCTCCTTTCCTCTCCTCCTCCCTCTCCCAGCTTGCCCCTCTTCCTCTTCCAGGGCTTCCATAGAACACAGATTGATTTGCTTGACAGTATCTTCAGGTACCTCTGGCTCTGAAGAGGAGAGTCCTTTTAGTTCTCAGACTTGATAAGCCTGCCTTTGGACTCCTCCGATCACCTTTTCACTTCAATACTTTGTACAGTTTTTGTTTCTTCTCAGGCTCTCACTCTTTGATATTCATATTTTGCTTGTACATCATTTTCCTGACTTTCCCCTTGTCTTCTTGGCTCTTTTGGCATCTTTACCACGGTTGAAATTTCTCTCTAGAAGATCTTCCTTCAGATTTTCCTGAGAGATCCAGAACAGCTTCAAGGCTGCTGGCTGAGATGGTCCAGCCTCACAGACTATTCTAGTCAGGACTTGACCATTACCTAATTTTCTCAGGGTCCCCCAAAGATACCAATGCTCCCAAACAACAGGAAGCAGTCTAGAAAACACAATTTCTATATTCCTGAGAGGTGGGGTGTATGGTTTTTGGATATTTGGTGGGTTATGAATGTTTATCATTGTTTAAGGGGGTTGGTTACAAATTGTTATTGGTCATGGTTAAAAAACTAAACAAAGGACATTAGATTCAGGGATCTCTTTCTGAAGAAAAAAGGGAGCTATAGTATAAAAATGATGAGATAAAAGGGTGGATTGTAGAGTCTACTTTTGAACGACCACTAGTCTCAAATACTTTACATTGGTATGGATTTTTGTACAGTGATACAAATTTAAGGTTATTTTTATTAGAACATACAATACTTACATTTCTCCTCTTATTTAAGGCATTGCACCTATGCAGCTCATTTAACAATGCAATGTAAATTTTTAGTTTTTGAAAGTTATTAAAAACTACTTAGGATAATAAAGAAATATAGGTTAGTAGTTAGTCACCTATAACAATCAAACTTTTAGCTAGGCAGTAGTGGTGCACTCCTTTAGTCCCAAAACTCGGGAGGCAGAGGCAGGTGGATCTATGTGAGTTTGAGGCCAGCCTGGTCTACAAAAGCTATTTCCAGGACAGGCTCCAAAGCTATACAGAGAAACTCTGTCTCAAAAAACCAAAAAAATGAAACAAAACAAAAACAAAAAACCCTTTTAGTCATGTATGTTTTCAAGATCAAACATATATTTTAGATAGATAGATGGTCTTCAAACACTTCAAAGACCTACAGAATATGACATTTAAAACTTTTTGTTAACATAGGACTTTTCATGACAGTGAGACGCATCTGCTCCTGGCAGCATCAATTGACTTCAGAGATGATGGGCATTGAAGAAACTCCATATGGAGTCTGCTTTCAATGTGGCAAAACTGGCCATTTGGGCAAGAAACTGCTCTTGACTGCTGACAGTATACTGTACAAACTGGACAACAGGAACAAAGGAGAAAGACTGTTTAACTTTCCCACAGTAAGGCAGGAAAGTCCTTCAAAAATTCCTGCTTCATAGAAGAGTCTGCCAGATATTCCAGGTTTGTACTCCTAAGGTTGGATGCCCCAACAATGCAGAAGAACCTTGAGTGACTGTCCAGGTGTCTCATTTCTATAGGTTTGGAAATGGCTTTCACTATAATCACTGTCTACTCAGGTAATATTATTTCTTCTGGGGTCTTTGATAGAGTTGAAGACTAGGTAGTCATAGTTGCAGTTTTCCTTAGTTATGACAGAAGGTAAATTAGGTACAGAGCTTTGGACTCATCAAGATAGAATAAATAATGGAGCATTTTCTCCAGATATGCCAAATACAAATGGGCTGGACATTGTAAATGCAATTCTTACCTGATAATGTTCTTTTTTTTTTTTATAGTTTTTTATGTTACCCATTCCTTTTTACTTAGACAAGAAGGGAGGAAAACTGTGGAATAGTCCTTTACACTGTGTGAAGTTATGTCACTGTGATTAGCTTAATAAAAAAGCTAAATGGTCCATAGCTAGGCAGGAGCTTGGGGGCAGAGAGGACCCTGGGAAGAAGGCAGAGTCACCAGTCAGGCATGACAACACCAGGAAGGGCATAATAGAAATGAGGTAATGAGCACATGGAAGAACGTAGATTAAAAATAGGACTAATTGAAGTTATAAGAGCTAGTGAGGAACAAGCCTAGGCTAAGGTCGAGCTTTCATGATTAGTAATAAATCTCCGTGCCATTTTTGTGAGCTGGCAGCCCAAAGAAGAATCTGCTTACAAAGATGACTGCAGCAATTGTGACTATTTTGTTACATTTTCTTCTTGCTCTATAGACACATGAGTGTGTGCATGTGCACTGCAGATATAAGCTGCTAGGTGATCACTGACTTCATAACTTAGTTTTTGGTTATAAAACATCTGCATAAGTGTTTTTTTTTCTGAGACAGTCTCACTGTGTACCCCAGGCTGACCTCAAATTCACAGTGTAGCTCAGGCTAGCACTGAACTCTCATCCTCCACCTTTCTCTTCCAAGCGATTACAGGCAATGCTACCATGCCTGGCTCCCACATTTCTATGGAAGCAGTCGTTCAGAGATAGATACAGAAGCTGATGGAACTACATGTCAGCATGTTGTGGAGTAGGGAGAGTGTCTTCAAATGTCAGTTACATGAAGCCTATGGTGGTTGTTACTGTTGTGTGGGAATGAAATATAGAGAGGAGAGAGATACTAGGGCTCCAAGGGGTGGGTGTGCCAGTCATCTGCCTCCATGCCCTCAGCCTTCACCCCTTCCCTCTGTGCTCAGCTCTGCATGGCAGACTTAACTATGCGTGCCAAACTGACTTTTTAACCTGGCTGTAATGCTATCAATTGAAGGGACGGGTAAGACTCTGCCAACCCAGGAAAGTGGGGGCAAATCTTCCTCCCGGCTTCATACAGCAGCAGCGTGGGAACAGAGACAGTGGTGAGTGTCCAGGCAGCAGGGCTAGAACGAGCAGCGGCCTCTCTTCAAGTCCAGGTGCAGACTCCCGGCTCCCAACAGCTGAGTGTCAGCCCTCCTTCCTTTGTTCTTCCACATCCCTCTTCTCCATTTGCCCCAGAAGTGTCCTAAGATTTATATAATGGATTCTCTCTACTTATCATTGGCAAGGCTGGAGGTGGAATAAAGGCTTGCTGGTTCTGAGTTTTAAAAGAGCCCTTATCTCTAGGAGCACATATTGAATATTTATAGATGACACATGAATCTTCTGATTCATTTGTGAGCAGAGTCATTTATAGCTGGGTACATTTTTCTTAAGAATAATCTACAATAGGGCATGAGGGGGGTATAGCTGTAACAGATTGGCTATGACCTTACAACTGTCTGGTGCTAACTACTGGGTGGTAGGGGCATGGGAAACCATCTTACCACTTACTCTCCTTCCGTTACACAGTTTGTCCTCTGTGGTGACAAACACCCATGAAAAGCAACTTACTTATGTTTTTTATGTTTGAGTTTTGTCGACACTATGTCTGTACCCCAGAAGATGGCATCAGATAGTTGTGAGGCACCATCTGAGGGCTGGGAGTTGAACTCAGGACCTCTGTGAGAGAAGCCAGTGCTCTTACCCACTGAGCCATCGCTCCACGGAAAAGCAACTTACAGGGAAGAACCATTTCTTTTAGCTATTGGCTTCAGTTGGGATCCTTTATTCTCTTGATTCTGAGCTTGAGATGGAGTCGTGCGACTGGAGTCTATGGCAGAGGTTACCAACCTCAGGGAGGGCAGGAATCAGAGAGAGACAAAGGATGGGAGGGGGTACAAGATCCCCAAGGACCTTCCCAGGAAATGACTTCCTGTAGCCAGGCCTCCCTTCCTAAACTTCCTGTCCCTCCCACAACAGCCCTACCGGCTGGGGACCTACCTTTTAGTGTATAAAACATTTGAGGGCGTATTACAAAGTCAAACCATAACTTTCCTTTTAGACATTTCTGAAATTTTCCACAGTAAAAATACCAATGGTGATCTCTCTGCACTCAGAGCAAGCAAATTCTCAATTGCAATACTTTTTTGTGAGTCTGACTGAGGCATGTTCTATCACAGAGAAAGCCTCGCTTCAAATGTAGTCAGCACAAAGGCAAGCTAAACTGTGTGCAGCCATAGACACCCTAACAGAAGTTCCACGTGACACCAGACCCCAGCACACAAATCCAGCAGATTCATTTGAAGGCCTTTTCAGATTTATAAGCCCCTTCCCTTTCCTTTTTAAAAATATACATTTTTAATATGTATAGGTGATTCATGTATGTCTGCCCACCAAGTGTATGCAGTGCCCAAGGAGGCCAGAAGAGGGCACTGACCTATGGAACTGGAGTTACAGATGATTGTTAGCTGCTATGTGGGTGTTGAGAACTAAGCCAGGTCCTTGATGCAAGAGCAACAAGGTGCTTTTAACTGTTTAACCAACTCTCCAGCCCTCCTTTTCTTTTTTACAGGAGACATGGTCTCAATATGTAACCCAGGTTGACCTTGAACTCCCATGAACCTCTTACCTCAGCCTCTCACATACTGATAAAATAGGTACAGGCTACCACTAAAGGTTCATAAATACCCAGTTTTTCCTCAGTTAGTTTGGAAACAAAATGATCCTAACTAATGAAACCCTAAATGCAATGATCGATCACTATCATCCCCACCCCTGAGCAACTAACAAACTGCTGTCAATCATTGCTGTCATTGTCTTCCATGGTGGCAATGGACATCATCACTAGGAATGTCCCATCAGTATCCCTATTGGTCAACATCAGCTGACTACATATTGGATGAAAAGCACCAGATCTTTGACTCGCTGCCGCAGATCAGGAATGAGTGAAGCAGAGCCCTTGCTCTGAGTGCTCCTCACCCTCAGATGTTCCAGCCATCTAGATAGCCACCTCCTATAAAGATTCGTGTTTAGCTAGCCCAGGTCAGAGCAGAGTAGCCAAATACTAGACTGACTGAGGGGACACGCAGAATAAACCCAGGGGTGTAGAACTTACTGTTCTGCAACAGCCATGTTGGGTGGCAGAGAGGTGAGCCCATTGCCTGTGAGGAGAAGCACACGGAGATGCGGCAGAATCCCCAGATCACAGATGGCCTCCTCAGTCAGGCTGTTGAAGGAAAGGTCCAAGAACTACCATACAAAACAAAAGAAGGGATAACAGAAGTAACACGTGACACGAGGCCCAAACACACGCGGGAGCTAGCTCCGTCCCCTCCTCCTTCCTGGGAAACCTCACCACCCACACATACACAGCCTGTGGGGGTCAGGCTCAGTCCTCCTTCAGTCTTAGCTGCTACTGCACAGCTCTGTCTCCCTGGGGGGCAGAGAGTCCTCCCTACCCCTGGCCTGTCCCCCCAGTCACCCTCTTCATGTTTCTGGGCACTGGAAGCTCATCCCCAGAAGGCCATCTCAAAGGTGCTTCCTTATAAAACGGTCCCCAGCCCTCAGGCAGGTGGCTGCCTCCCTCCCCTGGGCTTTGTCAGCTTTCTCTAAGCTACCCCAGGATACTCGTCCAAGGCTGCATGTCTTCAGATAGCTGGAGATGGTGGAAGAGGTCAGGGGCCATGTCACTGCCGTATGGTAGCCTTATTACTCAGCACAGGCCCTTACACGAAGCAGACACACAGGCGAGTGCGCTGATGAGGACAATGTGTCCAGTGGTCACCACATCAGCCACTGTCTCATCATCATCTCCTCATTTACCACCCCCATGCTGAAGGCTTATTTCATCCTGACCCTCTGGGAGCTCCGAGATTTCCTGGGCTGCAAGCTCTCTATGTCCATCTGTTAATAAATGATGTTACTGGGCTCAGAGAAACTCCTGTATACTGGTGGGTAGTCAACACAGAGACTCACAGCCAATCCGAGTACAGAGAGTAAGTGGCTGCGGAGCACCCGACCTTGATAGGACATCTATACCCTCTCCTTCAAGGCTCAGGGGACATCACAGAAGGGGGTAGCAAGAGTTTAAGAAACAGAGGGTGGGGAGGGGATGCTGTAAAACTGTCTTCTGGGTGTGACGTGGATGGTGCACTCATGACCTCACTGTGGTTGTGGAAGGAGAAAGGGCTCGTGGGGCCCCGTCCCTCTGAGAAGGACTACTGGTAGTTAACAGTGGTGGGGGAAGGGTATCACTTTCCTCAGTGGTGATAAATTGTCCATGTTCTGGTAAATAACCTCCCACCTACACTCAGCAAGCAGCCCAGAGGGCCACATGCACACAGGTCATAGAGGAAGGACTTGGGAAGAAGGGTTTAAGCAGGAGAGGAAGGGGATGAAACAGGGTACTAGAGGGGGAAAGGATTCAAATTCATTGTATACGTACATGAAACTGCCAGAGGATAACGAGTAAGAAAATTTAAAAGAAGAAAAAGAAGCGATACCTCTACGATATCCATCTAGACACACACCACAAGCCACAGAGGCAACAACGGCCAGGTCTGCCAGAATGTCAGCACAGGCTTCACACAGTGGCAGCATCTGAGCCATCCTCAGACAAGACTGTTAAAAGCAGGGAGTGCTGGAGAGAGAGAGAGCACAAACTGGGAGCAGGAGGCGGCCATCTTCTTGCTGGTTCTGAGAACTATAAAGGTTTGGGTATCAGTGACACCTGTGGTAAAGGAGAGGCTGGGCACCAACAGCAAAGGGAGCACTCGAGGTGCACATAGCAGGGCCCTCTCACTTGGCTGGAACAAGGCCTGGAAATAGACTCTGAGAATTACACATGAAGATGGGAAAGCCCTGTCTCTGTCAAGGTGTATGGATTTGTATCTGCCTCCTTCATGTCTCTCATCGTCCCTCCAACCCGTTCCTCATACAGCAGCCAGACACGTTTTCTAAAACACAACTCTGACCACAACATGATCCCCGTCCCATAAGATAGTTTCAGCTACTTAGCAAGTCCAAGACACGCCAAGGTCTGTCCTAAGCCACTTCAGGCTCACACAGCGCTACCTGTCCACAACTCTCACCTCCCCCCATCCCACCCACATTTGAAATGGTTCCCCAGTATTCAAGCTCAGCAGTCAGCACACCAAGGCCAATGAGTCAAATCCAGCCTGATGCCCATTTGTGGCCGATGAGCAAAGGATGATCTTTACATTTAAAAATAAAAACAAGAGGCCAGGTTAGGTGGCACGCGCCTTTCATCCCAGTGCTCAGGAGGCAGTATCAGGCAGACCTCTGTGAGGTGAGGCCAGTGTGGTCTACAGAGTGAGTTCTAGGACAGCCAGGATTGCACAGAGAAACCCTGTCTCAAAAATAAACAACAAACAACCAAATAGAAGAATAGTGTGCTCCATGCGGCAATTATGAGTAGTTCATAACTCAACATCACGCTTGGTTCCCTCCACTCTGTCTATAGTTCTTCCCTTCTACAGAGGCATGGATGACTAGTTATGACAGTCATAATTAATTATGAATATGTGGAATAAAAGTTTAAGATACTTAATTTCTTGTCTTACAGAAAAAAAAACCTGTGGACCCCAATTCTACTGCTTTGGCTATTTAATGCTGGGTCCAGATTTGCTTTCAAATAACAGCTAAGTGAAGTTTTCCAAAACTGTGGAGGAATTCCACTCTGGGCTGCTCCCCTTGGGGCAGGCTCGCTGACAGCCAAGGACAGATCTTCCTAGCCTGGCTGCAGTATCTGCTGAGTCACATTGGGTTTTATTACACATTAGAGTATTCATTACTGTGAGATGCAAATTTGGGATATTTGACATGTTTATCTTTTTTCCTAAGGAGCCCTTGCAAATCACAGAGAGACGAGAACAAGCGACCAGTCCAGAGATTTCCCTCTCTCATCTATATTCTGCATCCTAAAATGAGTCTGTTTTCTTTTGTCGACAAATTCTTTTGACTAATACCGGGTCTGGAGGATAAATAACCCTCATCAGATGCAATCAGACTGTACGGGGGGAGGGGCACATACAAGATCAGTCGTGATAAACATTAGATCCCGGGCTAGCCATTCAGAGCCAAAGCTGTGACCACACCCCTCTGGATGGCCGCTGGCACTTGTGGCGTGTTTGGGGTATGTGGGAGGAGGAAGACACGATCCATGGCACTCTATGCGGTTCTCAGGAGATCAGTGACTGTTCTCTGAAAAGGTCAAACAACAGTGGAAGTCCATAGGGGCAGCTGGGCCGGGCGGCCAGAGAAATGACTCCTTGGATCTCTACTGTCGAGGATCCACTTCCCACTGTCAGCACCAAAATATCATACAGAACGAGGCTCTAACATAGCTCCAAACTGCATCAGTTACTTCTTATTTTGGATTTTATTGGACTTTGACAGTTTGCCTACTGAATAAGTCTGAGGACCAACGCGTGTCCCAAGTCAGAGCAAACTGCTGTCATCTTCAGTGTGACTCGAAACCATGGGAAAAGTCAGCCCTACATTCAGCACTAGACGTTTTCAGAATGTGAGGACACAGCGTACGTATGGGGAAGATGCCCATTCCAATATGCTAAAGTGTTTCCAAACTCTGGCGTAGAAAGGCCGTCAACTCCTTGACATGTTGACTTGTCTCTGAGACAAGTGAGGCACATGTGAAGCAGATTTAAGTTAGCAAAGCTTACAACACATAGACATGCTGCTAAGGCGTGGGTGGAAAGGCTCTCCTTTTAGGCCTGCACAAAGGGAGGGGTGCATTGCTCAGGGAGAGACTGAGCCTGGCCAGGTGGCTGAGCTCCACTTCTGGCACTGTTCTCCAGTCCATGTGGGACTCTCAAGTAGTGACACAAACTTCATTCCCTTGTTTTTTTTTTTTTTTTTTAAAAAAAAAAGTGGCCCTCTAGTCTATCCAAGTCACAGGAGGTGTGAAGAGATGCAGACCAGATTTCCTATTCCAAGGTCCTGAGAACAAGCATTGATGTGCATGCACACAGAACGTACTGTTGAGTTCACAGGAGCCCTATTTAGTCCATCCTCACCTCTAGGTCTAGGAAATAGATGTACAGCCTGTACTACCCCAGTCCACTGAGACCACCCTAGCTTACAAGTCAGGTGTGTTTTGGTATTGGTCCATAATGTCTCTTTATCTTACTGCAGCTGGCTCTTAATCTCTACAGCTCTTCAGACACCTAAGGAGATACATCTCCTATGAAGCTCCTCCTCCTATGATACTCCATTGACACTCACTTTTTTTTTTCTATAGACTCTCCTGCACGTGAATAACCCTAGGCACTTATATCCCAGAATCATACATGTTGGCTATAGTTACCTATCTACCACAAGTACCACTATTACCACCACTACCACTACTATCATTACCACCACCATCATCATCATCACCATCATCACCTGTTGGGAGCAGTGAGACCCCAGATCCTGAATTTCTTGTAAACAACTTGTTTTCCCCTGATCTGAGTGCCTACAGCTGCTCTGAACACGAGACCTTCAGGAGTTCCTGATGGCAGGAGAGTGGTTTCTGGTGGGTTTGGCTGGGGCGTGGCTATCTCTATATAATCTGCCCCTGAACACAATAAAGAAGGCATTCTTGGGGAATTCAAGGATGACCCGTGTCGCTGTCTCTCTGTCTGTGTGTGTCTGTATTTTAACCTCCATCCCCTTGCCTAAAGCTCGGTAACTGGGTGCCAGCACACAGAGGGCAGACACAGGGGCACGGTGCACAGCAATCACCATCACCACCATCATCACCATCACCATCATCACCACCACCATCATCATTATCACCATCATCATCACCACCACCATCATCATCACCATCACCATCATCACCATCACCACCATCATCACCATCACCACCACCATCATCATCATCATCATCACCACCATCATCATCACCATCACCACCACCATCATCATCATCATCACCACCATCATCATCACCACCATCATCATCACCATCACCACCACCATCATCATCATCATCATCACCACCATCATCATCACCATCATCACCACCATCATCACCACCATCATCATCATCACCACCACCATCATCATCATCATCACCACCACCATCATCACCACCATCATCATCACCACCACCACCATCATCATCATCATCATCACCATCATCATCGCCACCACCATCATCACCATCATCACCATCATCATCACCATCATCACCATCACCACCATCATCACCACCACCACCATCATCATCACCACCACCATCATCACCACCATCATCATCACTGTCATCATTACCACCACAACCTCGAGGCCATCTACAAAGAGCCTAACAGTGAAAGGGTGGAGAACCCTTCTCCAACGTTACACTCTGTAAAGACCCTTATACTAATCCCTTACAGGGAAACAGGTAGGACCAAAAACTCCCTACCTCCAACTTACTTCCAATGTCTTGAAGTCTCCATATTTCACATAGACCGTCTTGATGCCATTGAATGCAAGCTCCAGTTCCTTTAGGGTTGGAAATGTGTGAAAAGCATCTGCATGAGAACAGAAAGAGAGAATCTTGAGCTCGTAAAGGCTTAAAGAGAAAGATACAAATAACGACCATCCACTGAGCTTTTCACAGGGGGAAGGGTGAGTTGTGGACGATGCTTTACGTTATCAGGCCTTTAAAACTCTAACCATGGGGCTTCAGAGATGGCTTGGCAGTTAAGAGGACCAGAGTTCAGCTCCCAGCACTCACACTAGGTGGCTTCCAACTGCCTGTTACTCCAGCTCCAAGGGTTCCAATGTCCTCTCTCTTCTGGCCTCTATGAGTGCCTGCATTCGTGTACATAAACCCAAACACATGCCCACATACACAAAATAAAAATAAAAATAATCTTTTAGAAAATTTAAAATCTCTACCCACACTCACTAATAGGAATTATGACTTTCATTCTATGGCTGAGGAAACGGAGGCTCGGGCTACTAAGTAACTTTTTAGAAATTAGGATTGCAGGCAAGAGCGAAAACTAAGGCTTGGACGCACAAAGTGTGTTCAAATGCAAAGCCCACTTAAAAGTTATCTCTTGTCTTTCTCCTTTTTTCTTCCCAGACTAGGAATCAACCGCAGGACCTTATGCATGCCAGGCAAACTCTCAACCACTGAGCCACACTGCTAGATAATCTGTTATTTCTGATTAGAGATGTCACTATGTTCACCCCAAATAGTCAACATCACAGGAAAAAAAATGTTCCTGTAGCCCCAACAGTTGGGGTCAACTGTTTAAAATGCCATGTATACACTTCATTTTTCTCATGTGTGTATTGAGATACAATCTTTTTCATGGGATACACGCTGCACTGTGGCTGTTCTCCTTTAACAGTGTGACTTGAAGGTTAGTCTATATTAAAACAAACAGATTTGTCCACTACCTTAATTACCTGCTGGTATAGACATGCCATAACATTACCGTTTTCCTATTGATAGCATATAGGCTATGGGGGTAAGAGGTAATCCAAAACTCCCTCTTACATGATAACTGCATCTTAAGATTCCCTTTCTAGTCCTGTTTCCCTGGTAACCTGAAACACATGCTATGGTAACTGTGTTACTAGGCAACTGTTGCTTGTGGTAAAAATGATTGCAGACCAGTATCTTGTGTCTGGACCAGGAGAAAAGTATAAATTATAAACATTTCTATAAATGGTGACTCCCATAACCAGATATGTCCTTCGTGGGACTGCTACAAGCTACAGAACTATGGAATGTCACAAGGGACAAAGGTGATTCCTGCATTTGCCCAGGGAGAGTTTCTGTCCTGCGCCTAGGGTGGCACTTGGCTAGTGGGCAGCCCTCCCAGATGGCCAGTCACGGGGACTCCGCTGAAGCCATGCAGCTGGCACACAGTGTAGAATTACTTAGAACCTCGGAAGTGAACCTGATGTGCTGTGGGGCCTGAAGAAGGCTTGAGTCAGAATGCTCAGCAAGGCCTACTAAGAGGCTGTCTAGTGGGTTTCCTTGTGTAAGTCCTACAAGTGGAGCTACTAAAAGCAAAGACTATTTTGATTTTTAAAACATTCGTGTATGCATTTGTTTGTTTGTTTAGTGTATGTCTGTGTGCCTTGTGACTTCATGAGCACCAAGTGTGTAAAGGAGTCCGTGGAGGCTGGGAGAGGGCGCTGGATCCCCTGGAACTGGAGTTACAGGTAGCTGTGAGTTACCCCATGGGTGCTGGGAACTGAACCTGGGTCTTTTGCAAGAGCAGCTAAACCAGCTCTCCAGCCCTGTTTTGAACTTCAAGAGATACGACCAAATTATGTTCATGGTTCACATCGACTTCTCTATTTTACCTTCACCAAAAGTACCCACCTCCACACCAGTGCTGGCTGTTATCATACTGGTCAATATCTGATGGGCACAAAATAGTATCCTGGTGTTGTGCTCTTACTAGTGAGGCTGACCATCTTTTCATGTGCCTTTCTTCCAAGGCAGGGGTCTCATCGGATGCCTCTTTAGAAGCTCCCATCCAACTCCCGGGGACAAACCAAGCTCATCTCATCAACCCCCCCCCCCCCCAGGACTGTCTCTGAGATCCATCCCTCTCCTTATACCCTCACAGGTCGGCCTGTCTCTAGTATCATCTCCCCTTTCACGGAAAACTGAACTGATTCCTAGCATCTCCTGGCCTCCATTTTCTCTCTTAGAATCCACCCCCTCCTCACTGAGCTTCCTGTTTAAAGGTTTCCAGGCTTCTTCTATCTGAAGGATTAAGTTTGACTCCCAAAGCCCTCCAAGATCCCTAAGCCCTGCCAATGTGTCTAGCCTCAATTCTCCTCCCTTGTAAGTAATCTTTGTGACCAGGCAGTATACAGCTGCCCCCCAACCAAAGCACCTTCATTAACTCCTGAGTTAATTTCTTTATTACAATGTGTGCATGTGCATGCATGTGTGTGTATGTGTGTGCATGTGTTTGTGCACATGTGCATGCATGCGTGTATGTGTGTGTGTTTGTGCACATGTGCATGCATGCGTGTATGTGTGTGTGTTTGTGCACATGTGCATGCATGTGTGTGCGTGTTTGTGCACATGTGCATTCATGCGTGTATGTGTGTGTGTGTTTGTGCACACGTGCATGCATGTGTGTATGTGTGTTTGTGCACATGTGCATGCATGCGTGTTGTGCACATGTGCATGCATGTGTATGTGTGCGTGTGTGTGCACGTGTGCATGCATGCGTGTGTGCACATGTGCATGCATGTGTGTATGTGTGTGTGCACATGTGCATGCATGCGTGTGTATGTGTGTGCATGTGTTTGTGCACACGTGCATGCATATGTGCACATACACGCATGTGTGTATGTGTATGTGTGCACACAGATATCAGAGGACAACTTCAGGAGATGGTTTTCTTCATCTACCACGTGAGTCCCAGGGATCATCATCAGGTCGCCGAGTTCAGCAGCGGGTGCTTTAACTCACTCAGCCGCCTGGCCAGCCCAGTTTATCCTCTGATCTTAGCTTAGGTGCTCTTTTCTTAAGTTTTCCTGACTCTCTGGTATGGGCTAAAGCCCCCTTTGTATGCTTGCATAGTGTTTCCTGACCTCCCTGTACCGTTGCTTATATGCACCCTGCTTTGGGTCTGAGTCTGAGCTCGACTCTCCTCTCCAGAGAGAAACTGGGCACGGTTCTTTCTAAAGGCCACGCATTCTGACACCAGCAGGGGTCACTGTGGATTTGCTGAATTACCAAGATGCTTTCTCTCTGGTAGGGGCACGCACAGATTTAAAAGCCTCTCTTGCTGGAGTTTACAAGGTTGGAGGAGAGGGTTATCTGTGTGTGTGGAGGAGCAGGCTCCAGTTTGGCAGAGTGGGACCAGAGTACAGACTGAGTGCTCTCCGGGGCCCTTACTCTCCGGCTGTTCCACCCAAGATGAAAGGCTGATCACGGATGGACAGACAGATCCTGTCACAAGTGATTTTCTGGCCAGGAGGACGCTCACCTAGAGGCAGCAGGTTTTCAGAGGCGTTGATATAAATCACAGAAGTGAAATGTTTGAAGTCCTTTTCCTTTGCCTGTCAGAAAGTATTCCAGAAAAACACAGGATTAGTTCCCTGCCCGGGAGCTCCGCAGGAAACCAGAGCAGCTGCTGAGAGGACAGACACCTAAAGGACTAAGAGACATTCTGAGTGCAGGAGCAGTCATGTGGGGAGGGCTGGGGGCTTTTCTGTTCATTTTCCTCTACCCTGGAGTACTTCAAATGTATCGAAAAGGACAGAGAACCATCTCTGAAGATGTAGCCAGGCATGACCCAGTTTTAACAGAGCTGAATCTTAGCTGTTTAAATGTGAAAGAAACTATTAGAAGACTTACAACTCTCCATGTGCCGCCTGCCCCCAAACCTCTCACCTCATCTCTACTCTTGATCTGTACATGTATTACATGCACAACACATTTATATCCATCAACTAAGCAAAGGGTGATTTACATGCTTTAAAACTTCACAGTCATACAGACTTATGGTCCAATATGCCTTTTTACTCAATAGTATGATTTTGAGATTTATGTTGAGATATGTATAACACTTTGGAGATTAATCTGTGTTGATACACATAGGTCCAGTTCATCCATTTCAATTCATTGATTGAGTGTATGACAAGGTTAGTCTGTCTCAAATTTTCCATCATTACAAACAATGGTGTCATATACATTCTTATATATTCCACCTCATTGTAAGACTTTATCCCGACAAGGTGGTGAGCTTGTGGGATGGGAACTCCACATAAGGAATTACAGTCTGCCCAAATTCCCTGGCCAGTTCACACCATCTTTGCTCTCAATCCCAAGAACAGATTCATAAGGTAAGTTTTACTAATTCATACAAACACTAAATTTAAAGCAAAGTTGGAATTTGTTTCTGCCTGGTGAGCGCTTGTCTGCCCTCCCTTCCTCCCCCTCACATCTGGCTTTGTCATGCCTTTGCTGCTGGCCTCACCCTGGAGAACTTCATGCCGCTCACGTTCACGGTGCAAAGGTCTGATGGCTTTCTTACACAGTGGTGCTTCACCTGGAACAGAGGACACAGACTTAGTCCCAGGGTCCCAGTGGAGTATGATAGGTTAAGCTACTCCTGCTGAGTGTCTTCTCATTGGGTACGCTCATAAAACCTGTCATTTGTTTTTGCATGTGCATTTGCTCATTCACCAAGAATTAACTGAGAACCACCTCTGGGCCATGAACTGACTGTAACAAGCTCTTGTTCAATCCTAACTGAACCCCTTCTTTAATGTGAATAGTGTATCTTATGACTTATTAGTTGTGTTCAGGGTTTACCTCTCTCTTTCAGTATGACTTTAGTTAAAGAGTTTACTTCCCCTTCAATGAGGCTAAGAGACAGAAGGTGCCTTGCCTGAGGCCCTATAGTTAGTACATGATTGATCTATGATTTGGATTCAAATCTAGAATCATGAAACTATGCATTTTTGCCTACTGCATGTCATTGTAAATAATGAAAAAGTTAGGATCAGATATCAGCTTCAGATTATCTCCTAGTTCAATGTTCCTTGTCCCAGCTATTATGGCCCATCCATATGGCGCCTGCTATGAAGAGGCTCTAAACAGGCTAAGTGGGGAAGCTGCAGAAGCCACCCACGCCTTCACTTAGTGGGAAGTCAAATGAGGTACTTAGAAATGTAATGACTATTCTGAAGGAGAAGTTCAAGACTCCATGGGGGTATGGAAACAGGAGGCCCCAATCTCAGCCTCTGAAGGAGGAAACATTTACTTGAGGGAGTAATTTTCCAGCCAAGGAGATGATCCTGTAGTGGGTAGGGAGTGTGCAGGCCTCCCAGGCAGAAGGCTGCACGATGTTTTTGAGAGGAAGCCAAGACAAGGCTAGAGAGGGAGTCGTGAGACCATTCGGGTCCACATTGGTGCTGAATAAGAGTGTGGATTAAGTAGTGGCTGACAGAAGTTTCATAAAAGTCACTATGTCTGACCTCCTTAGAAAGGATAAAAAGACAAAGCCGGGTGGTGGTGGCACACACATTAATCCCAGCACTCAGGAGGCAGAGGCAGATGGATTTCTGTGAGTTCGAGGCCAGCCTGGTCTACAAGAGCTAGTTCCAGGACAGGCTCCAAAACTACAGAGAAACCCTGTCTTGAAAACCCAGGAAAAAAGAAAAGCAAAGATAAGAAGACAGAAGAGACCATTGTATTATTAGCAGCAGCAGCATCTGGGGATGTGTGCATGTGTGCACATACCATGTTGTACATGTTCTCAGAGGACAACATTTGGGAGTGGTTCTCTTCTTCCACCTTCTCTCCTGGGGGCTGAACTCGGGTTGTCAGGCTTTGTACAGCTAGCCATCGGGATGACCTGAGAGGAAAGCTTTCTAATTGGTCTGAACTAGTTCGGGAGTTACATGGTTAGTAAGAGATGACAAGAGCTAGTTCCAGGACAGGCTCCAAAACCACAGAGAAACCCTGTCTCGAAAAGCCAAAAAAAAAAAAAAAAAAAAAAAAAAAAAAGAGATGACAGTAGCTGGGTTAAGTGTTGTAGCAGAAGAGATGAGAGGAACGTAGACTCGATGTCTGTTTAATAGACGTTCTTGGAGTGGTTAAAGGTGGGGGTATGGGCAGAGTATAAAGTAGAACCCCAAGTTGCAAGTTTGGTGACTGGTTAATTAGTGACAACACAAAGGTACTATTAACCAAAATGACGTATTTGGGGATGTGGGGGTCATTGAATAATACAACCTGAGGGGCCAGTGAACTGAGAGGCAGTGTGGAGATCCCGTTACTCTGAAAAACATTCTCATTGCTGCTTTAGGTAGCAAACCTGGCCAGTACAATGATCTTCTCACAACTGATGGAAGAGCTAGGACGTGAGAACAGGGACAGTCGAGTACCTCAGAATTTTAAAAGTTAACTTTACATCTGGATGCTTGCCTACATGTATGTGTGTGCACCACCTGTATGCCTACATGTATGTGTGTGTACCACCTTTATATCTGGATGCTTGCCTACATGTATGTGTGTGCACCACCTGTATGCCTACATGTATGTGTGTGCACCACCTGTATGCCTACATGTATGTGTGTGCACCACCTGTATGCCTACATGTATGTGTGTGCACCACCTGTATGCCTACATGTATGTGTGTGCACCACCTTTATATCTGGATGCTTGCCTACATGTATATGTGTGCACCACCTGTATGCCTACATGTATGTATGCACCACCTATATGCCTGATCCCTGTGGAAACAAGCAGAGGGTTTTGTATCCCCTGAAAATGGAGTTACAGATGTCTTAAACTTCTATGTGTGTGCTGAGAATTGAACCTAGGTCCTCTGGAAGAGCAGCCAATGCTCTCAACCATGGAGTCATCTCTCTAGGCCTCTAGTCCCTCATTTAAAACAGTGTCATACTTGTTAACAATCTATGTATTTCCTCATATTTACTTCAAACCATAACTGGGTCATTGATAGTACCTAATTCAGTACAAATAATATGTAAATAATTGTTAGATCATATGGTTTAGGGAACAGTAATATAAAAGTATGCACATGTGTAGTACAGATAAAAATAAATTTTGCTTTATTTTTCACAAACATTTCAGTCTGTGGTTGTTTGAATTTGTGGATAAGGAATAGTGGATATGCAAGGTCAGCTTTATTTGGAAATGAGTGGGGGGAGGACACTGTGGAGTGACGTGACCTGTCCCCCTTCAGTCCTGCTGTTTCAGTCCTCACAGTCATCAGTATCCTGGACTCTGGACTCTGCACTGAGTAGTGGTCGTAACAGTCAAACAAACCTAACAGGCTCTGCAAAAACCTTTCCCTGCTCAACAAGGGAACACAGAGCCAAGCATGACCTCTTGTAATCTCTGAGATATACGAGCAGAATGTGGAAACAAGGGAGCAATGAGAACCACACTACCCATCAATATTAATCTACAAAATCCATCTTTCTTTGCCAAGCTACTGAAGCGCTGCGTAGAACAGATGTGAAACTTCCTGGCTGGTCTCCAACCCAGCACCCAGCTCTCTTCAGAGAAACTGCCTCAGGCCTGGCTGGAGTAACACCATTAGCTCCTTCTGCTTCCAGACAGATGCTAAAACCAGAGAACCAAGGCTGGGGGAGAACAGGACACCCCTGTCCCACTGGCTCCCACCTCAGGGCAGTACACAGCATGGCACACAGAGATCTCTTGCTCCTCCTCAGTGCTGTCATGGGATCCTTAGTTTATCCTTTATTTCTGAAACACTCTTTCTTTTCCAACTCACATAAGACTTTGCACTTCATATGATAACTTTTTTCTTCAGGAGCCAGGGCCTCACTATGTAGATTCACAGAGATTCACCTGTCTCTGCCTCCCAAGTACAGGGATTAAAGGTGTGAGCCACTGCATCTGGGCATTTTACATAATACAAAGGTACAGGGTTTAGAATCAGTAGATCAGGGTTCTAATCCTGATCCAGTCATTTGTTGGCTGTAGAGGGGACCTCTTTTTTCTTGTCTACAGGTGGCGATATCAGGTCTGTCTCACAGGGTGCATATGTAAAAGCTTTGCATGTTAAAGGAAATTCCCAGGGTTCTTTTGTCACTGGCCACATTCAGTTTGGCACCATCGCTCTGATAGCTTGGTGTGGGATAGGAGTAGTGGTACCAGGGCAAGACAAGTCCCTAGCCAGATAAGGGCAGGGCAGGGCAGGGCAGTCCTCATTCCTCCCTTCCCCCTCCCTTAGCTGATATCACTAGATACTCCGGAATGCATTTACTCTCACCAGAAAAGCTCGGTCCAAGACATGTCCATGTCCACGACTGTCTGCCTGGTTATCCCGCCGAGACACTTTCTTCAACCCAGTCTCGAAAGAAACCTTCTTCAGGTTCTCCTGGCCTTCAGTGGACGCCTTAGCCACACCCTTCTTCATGCTGCCTTTCCGAGCCACTAACCAGTGTCCTCGGCCTGTGGGGAAGAATGGACCGGTGAGAAGGGCCAACCTTCTCTGAAGCCGAGGGTGTGAACATGGATATTGATCTTTCATACTAACCCCCCAGTATCTCCCAGTTCCTCACCACCGCCAGAGGGTATCTGTGTACGTGTCTCATTTAAGCAGCCACTAAGTTCAGTGACACATATGCTACAGATGAAAATGCTTACAAAGAACAAGATGGGATGGCTGCCCAGCCCCTTCGTTTATCTCCAAGTGTGTGCCTCCTAAGTCTACGGCTCACTGAAGAGAAAAAACTGGACACTTCCTGTTATGTGACATCCTCCCGGACCCCCTCGATATAGAGGACTACTCTCTCGGGTGCTAGCCAGTTACTCTCCCACTGACCATCTCTTAGGTAAGGCCTATGTGTGACCTGGATTCCATGCTACAGCAAAAAGAATACGAGGGCTGGGGATGGAACTCAAGAGTTGGCCAACTGTTCGCCTACCGTGCATGGAGACCTCGGTTCAACCCCAGCACTGTATAAAGCTGGTTATGGTTGAGTAACACCTGTAATCTCATTACTCAAGGAGGGGGAAGCAGGAGGACCACAAGTCCAAGGTCATCCTTGGCTATCTAGCAAATCTGAGGTCAGCCTGGGTTACATGGGACTCTGTATCAGAAAAAAATAAAGATTATGAATTCATAGTAAGTTCATTTAAAAATCATGATGACATTCTATAATCTGCTCTCTCTCACATTAGTGATTAACCGACCCATGGCATTAACTGTGATCTGTAATCATACTATTATTTACTCGTTTGTTGTCTACATTCCCCGCTGGGATAGAATCTCTGGACAGCAGGGGCCTTGTCTGACTCACTCATCTTCATGTCCCCGTGGCCGGCCCAGAGCTCACCACTGTGCCTAAATGAATGACCTAGCGAACCCACATAACCATCTGTTTGGATGTGTATGGAGGTTATGGGAACAAACGTGACAGAAGCCCTGACCCACAAAAGTTCAATGACACCTGAGGTGCCGAGGAAGCCCAGAGAACCTACCAGCGTGACACAGATCTAGCGAGCAGAAGGAATTCATTAGAAGAGGATTGAAACCAAGACAGTCTGGGCAGAGGGAAGAACAACAAACAAACAAACAAACAAACAAACAAAAATGCCCAGAAATATCAAAGGCCTAGAAGACACAGAACCACACAGCTATGAGACCCAGGCTGGGACCACTGGCTCTGGCCTGCCGCCGTTCCTAGTTCTTCCTCTAGGGCTGGACTGACATGTGACCACTGTTGCCAGCTCTGCCTGCTCTGGCCTCACATGAAGCATTTCCTGTTGTGGGATAATCTTCGTGTACACTGTGAAGATTTGTCAGAGAGGACAGTGGGAAGAAGGACGGAGATGGGGAAGAAGCCAACCAGATGAAAAAGGGGGGACATAGGATTAAAATGATGAGATTAAAGGGTGGATTATTGAGTCTTCTTTTGAGCAACTACTAGTCTCAAATATTTTACATTGGTATAGATTTTGTATATTGATTCAAATTTAAGGTTATTCTTATTATATATATATATATATATGCTTTTATTTTTGTTTAATATATTGTAGCTCTACAGTGCATTTAAAAAACATTATGTATAGTTTTAGTATTTGAAAGCTATTTAGGATAATGAGTATAATAGTTATCCATAACTATCAAACTTATAGTCGCGTGAGGTATGTTTTCAAGATCATACAGAAGTATATTTTAGATAGATAGATGATTTCAAACAGTTCAGAGACCTACAGAATATGGCATTTAAAATGTTTTAATAACATAAGGCTTTTCTTGACAATGACACACATCTGCTCCTGGTGGCACTACTTCAAAAATGGATGACGTTATCAAAGAACCTCCATATGGAATTTGCTTTCTTTATGGCAAAAGTTAGTCATTTAATCAAGAAACTGCCCTTGCGTCGATTGCTGATAGTATGCAGTCCAAGCTGAACCAGAGGACACAGAGAAACGACTGCCAAGAAAGGACAGGGAAGTCCTTCAAAAATTCCTACTTCACAGAAGTCTGTCAGATATTCTAGGCATGCAGGCCAAAGATGGATGCCCCAGCATTGAAGAGCAACCTTGGGTGACTGTCCAGGCAGCAAGTGGTTTCTGTTGTTCTTTTAGGTTTGGAAGTTGCTTGTTCTGCACTTTCTGCTTACTAAGGTAATATTCTATCCTTTCGGGGTCTGTGATGGAATTGAAGACTAGGCAGTCATAGTTTTCTTTAATTATGACAGAAGGTAAATTAGGTGCAGAGGTTTGGGCTCATCAGGATAGAATAAATGGAGTATTTTCTCCAAAAATGCCAAATACAAATGGACTGAACATTGTAAATGCAATTCTTGACTGATGATTGTTCTTATTGTCTATAGCTTTATTATGTTAGAGTCAAAAACCTTTCCTTTTTATTTAGACAAAAAGGGAGAACTGTTGTGGAATAATCTTTCTGTACACTGTGAAGATTTGTCACTCAGATTGGTTTAATAAATAGCTGAGCCGGGCGGTGGTGGCGCACGCCTTTAATCCCAGCACTCAGGAGGCAGAGGCAGGCGGATCTCTGTGAGTTCGAGACCACCCTGGTCTACAGAGCTAGTTCCAGGACAGGCTCCAAAGCCACAGAGAAACCCTGTCTCAAAAAACCAAATAAATAAATAAATAAATAAATAGCTGAACAGCCAATAGCTAGACAGGATTTTCAGGACAGAGAGGATGCTGGGAAGAAGAACGGAGATGTGGGAGAAGTCAGCCACACATGGAATAAGTTGGACACACAAAGTGAGATAAAGGCAAGAACCGCATGGTAGAACATGGATTAATAAAAAAAAATTGGGTTAATTTAAGTTGTAAGAGCTATTTAGTAACAAGCCTAAGCTATCAGTCAAACTTCCATAATTAATAAGTCTCCATGTGGTTTGGGAGTTGGTTAGGTGGGACAGAAAAAGTTCAACTACGATTTTCCACTCCTGCCATGGACCAGGCAGTTTGGTAAGGCTGCCCCACCAGGGCATAAACTTTGTTCCTCGACTCTCGTGTTGTATCCCTGACTCCTGGCGATAGCAGTTGGAGTTGGTGTGAAAACTCAAAGTGGTCAAGAGGAAAGGCCACGAGGTCAATGTGAATGAGGCTGGGGGTCAGGAGAGACAGACCATGGAAGTGTGCATGAGGCTGGGGGTCAGGAGAGGCAGACCATGACAGTGTGAATGAGGCTGGGGGATCAGGAGAGACAGACCATGACAGTGTGAATGAGGCTGGGGGTCAGGAGAGGCAGACCATGACAGTGTGAATGAGGCTGGGGGTCAGGAGAGGCAGACCATGACAGTGTGCATGAGGCTGGGGGTCAGGAGAGACAGACCATGACAGTGTAAATGAGGCTGGGGGTCAGGAGAGATAGACCATGACAGTGTAAATGAGGCTGGGGGATCAGGAGAGACAGACCATGACAGTGTGAATGAGGCTGGGGGTCAGGAGAGACAGACCATGACAGTGTGAATGAGGCTGGGGGGTCAGGAGAGACAGACCATGGAAGTGTGAATGAGGCTGGGGGTCAGGAGAGACAGACCATGGAAGTGTGAATGAGGCTGGGGGTCAGGAGAGGCAGACCATGACAGTGTGAATGAGGCTGGGGGTCAGGAGAGACAGACCATGACAGTGTGAATGAGGCTGGGGGTCAGGAGAGACAGACCATGACAGTGTGAATGAGGCTGGGGGTCAGGAGAGGCAGACCATGACAGTGTGAATGAGGCTGGGGGTCAGGAGAGGCAGACCATGACAGTGTGAATGAGGCTGGGGGTCAGGAGAGACAGACCATGGAAGTGTGAATGAGGCTGGGGGATCCGGAGAGACAGACCATGGAAGTGTTAATGAGGCTGGGGGTTAGGAGAGACAGACCATGACAGTGTGAATGAGGCTAGGGGTCAGGAGAGAAAGACCATGGAAGTGTTAATGAGGCTGGGGGTCAGGAGAGACAGACCATGGAAATGCTGAAATGGGGTGGAGCCTGATAATGGTATGGGCCTTTAGTAGCCAGGGGGTGGGATCGAGGGGGGACTTGTTGCTTTGTTTTTCTTATAACTTTTCATTTTGAGATAATTTTAGACTTCCAGAAGAGTTACAGAAATGGTGTAAATTGCTCCACAGCCTTTACCCAGCTTCCCTAATATCTTGTTCTCATATTACATAACAGCCACACAATTACTGAACATCGAGCAATTAGCATTGGTGCAACACCAGCTACTAATGTTAGCCCCTCTTTGAAGTTTGCCAGTTTCCTGACTAAGGCCCTCCTCCTGTCCCAGGATCCAGGCCAGGATCTCACATCACAGTCAGCTGGCATGGCTCCTTAGTCTGCTCCCACTGGTGAGATGGTTCTCCACTCTTTTCCCTTCTGCAGACTTGACACTTGTGAGGAGTACTCGTCAGTGAAACACTGAATATTACAGTATTTAAATTTAAAAAAATCACCCATGTGTGAGCTTGTCTGATGCAGTCCCATGTTCAGACAGAGGCTTTGAACTTGGCAAGCTACCACAAAAGCAAGCTGTGCCTTTCTCTGTGTATCATTTCAGGGAACTCCTGGGGTCATTGCGCTTTATTTCTGGTGGTGGTAACCTGTTTCGGGAACAGGTTCTCACTATGCAGACCAGGCTGCCCCGAAACTCACAGTCCTCCTGCCCCGGCCTCCCGAGTGCTGGGGTTTTAGGAGTGTACTATTATACAGCACATTGACATTACAATGTTTATTTGATGTGTATATGGTATACACATGCGCGATGTTTGAGTGCATGTGTGCAGTTGTACATGCAGAAGCCAGAAGAACATGTTAGGTTTCTCTGTCACTATCTTGTTCCCTTCAAACAGTGCTTCTGGTTGAACCAGAACCCGACATCTCACGTGTGCTGGCCAGCAAACCCCAGCAATCTTCCTGTCTTTGCCCCCACTTCTGAGGTGACAGGCATATATGGCCACACCCAGCTTTTACATGGATGCTGGGATGGGTCCCCATGCTTGCTGCAAGTGGTTTTTCCTGTTGAGCTACCTCTCCAGTCCTACAATGCTGATTTTGATTCCTCATTCAAAGTGGGGTCTGCTCAATTTCACAACTGAGAAGTTCCCATTTTTACCTTTGTTATTAGTAACTACACCTGGGAAGTTCTTTAGAAGTCTTGTTTCTCATACTCCCATCCGTTTTTTTCCTAGCATTCCAGATGTTTCTCATACTCCCATCCATTTTTTCCTAGCATTCCAGATGTTTCTCACACTCCCATCCATTTTTCCCTAGCATTCCAGATTGCTATGTGTCAGCTTTGCTGGGCTATGCAACTGTTCAGACACTCGTTGCTGTGACCGTATTTTGTATTGAGTTAGTGTCTTGATGAGGCGATGTTGGTGAGAAAGGTACTTGATGGTAAAGGTCACACTTCCTCCCTTGGTTAGCTCAAACACTTACGGATCAAAAACAGACTTTTCGGTCGTGAGCCTAGCCTTTAACGGCTGAGCCAAGAGATGGCTCAGTGGTTAAGAGCATTGCCTGCTCTTCCAAAGGTCCTGAGTTCAATTCCCGGCAACCACATGGTGGTTCACAACCATCTGTAATGAGGTCTGGCGCCCTTTTCTGGCCTGCAGACATACACACAGACAGAATATTGTATGCATAATAAATAAATAAATATTTTAAAAAAACCCAGACTTTTGAGAGGAAAAAGAGGTCCTGCTTCAAGACTACAATGGGGTAGAGGAGCAGGTGTGGCGTGGTGGCACGTGCCTTTAATTCCAGCATTCCATTCCAGAAACAGAGGCGCTGGTAGAGCTCAGCAGTTCAAGGCCAACCTTTCCTGAGTTCCAGGACAGCCAGTGCTACCTAGAGAGACGCTGCTTAAAAAAATAAATACATAGGAGCTGGAGAGATGGCTCAGAGATTAAGAGCATTGACTTCTTTTCTGGAGGTCCTGAGTTCAATTCCCAGCAACCACATGGTGCCTCACAACCATCTGTAATGAGATCTGATGCCTTCCTCTGGTGTGCAGGCAAACATGTTGTATATATAACAAATAAATAAATCTTAAAAATAAATAAATAAATGGGCTGGGATGTAGCTCAGTGGTAGAACATTGCCCTCTTGTGCAAAGCACTGGACTTCATATTCACCATCAGGAAACCAAACAAAAGAAAAATCCCACTTCAGAATTAGCTCTTCCCCAGGGGTTACCTCAGCCTCTAAAGTTACATAAGCCAATTCCTATTCTATCTACCCACTTGCTCATCTATCTGTCTATCTACCTGTAGTAATAGGGGTGGCGGGGCTGCGTTCCCAGCACCCCGGCCGCCTGCTCGGCTAGCTTATGCCCTGAAACAACAACACACAAACTGTATTCATTTAATCACTGCTTGGCCCATTTCTATCTAGCCTCTTCTAAGCTAATTCTCACATATTAATTTAGCCCATTTCTAATCATCTGTGTTGTGCCCCTAGGTGCGCTTACCGGAAAGATTCTAGCCTATGTCCATCCTGGGTCGGAGCTTCATTGCGTGCGTCTCTGCCCAGGAGCCAGGAGCATGGCGTCACTCTGAGGCGTCTGCTCCCCAGAGGAGAGCTGTCGAGTCTGAGCTCACTTCCTCTTCCTCCCAGTGTTCTGTTCTGTTTACTCCTCCCACCTATCTTCTAACCAATAAAATGGGCCAAGGCAGTTCCTTTATTAGCCAATGACCTTCCTCCATCATCTATCTATCTATCTATCTATCTATCTATCTATCTATCATCCATCTATCATCTATCTACGTATCTATGTATCTATCTACCATCCATCCATCTATCCATCTTTCCATCCATCCATCCATCCATGTATCCATCATCTATGTATCTATGTATCTATCTATCATCTATCCATCCATCCATCCATGTATGTATCTATCATCCATCCATCCATCTACCTATTTATCCATCTATTAATCCATCTACTTATCTTCTACTAGCCTTACTTCTTTAAAGAATCCTGACTGACATATTATCATAAGTAGGTTTTACCTGCAAAAAATATTACTGTGATATTTGAACAGCGATTTTAAATACCCGTCATGTCTTCTGTATTCATTAATGAGATTTTTACCACAAGGAAAAGCTGTTTCTTCTCTCCCACTTATTTATCGACTTAAATGTTTATTTATATCATTATGAGCTCATGAATATTTATTGCATGGTTTACAACCCAATCCTACCATTATTTACTTTTCTGTGTAGGCTGTCCCAGATTTGGCTCCATTATCTGGCTGCTGTGTCCTTTCAGCTTGCCCTCAATGTTTTTCTGAGCACTTCTTTACTTTCTGGTACCACAAGATGTTCAAGGCCCAATCTGAATTTTTTTTCCCTTACCTCAGACCTGTGGACATCTATTTCTCTAGAGAGGTCTTACTCCTCTCTTTGGAAAATGGTATTTAGAAACCAAGGTCCAGGCAACAAGTATATTCTTCACTGCTGACACCTCCCTGCTTTCAGTGAGTATGTATACTTCTCCCGTCCCCCTCTGTCTCTGTCTCTGTGTGTGAGGGGGTGGAGGAGAGATTGAGCAAGAGAAAGCAGAAATCCACATTGAAAGGTGCTTGGAGCAGTGGTTCTCAACCTGTGGGTCACAACCCTTTTGGGGTTTGACTGACCTTTTCACAGGGGTCACCTATCAGATAACCTGCATGTCAGATATTTATGAAATTATAGTTATGAAACAGCAATGAAAATAATTTTATGGCTGGAGTTCATGCTAACTAGATGGATGTCTGAAAAACTACCAGAAAGATTTAGTGGTTTCATTTAGGAGCTGACCAGAGAATTAGTCATCTAATCGGGAAAAATGGGAGACAGATACATAGCAGACTAAGGGGTCATAGGATGGTTTGTTGAAAAAAGTGGGAGAAGAATAGGGCTTCGTGGATTTGAAGACTTGGCTAACTTTGGAATGGAAGCTGAATATTCCAGACAAATCCAAAAGCTTTGTGAAAAGAGCAGCCCAAAAAAGGAAGGAACATAAATAAAGAAAAGGGGCTGTGGCAGAGACTGAGTGTAGGTTAGACTGTGAATGACAGGTCCTTCTACAGGGGTCAGCAAAGAGAGGCCGCTGGGCTATGGCACTGTGGTCAAGAGCACACTGCACAAGGCCCGATGGGGCTGCTGCAGAAGGCGGGATGAGAGGGGACAGGATTGAGTGGCACAGGCAAAAACAAGAAAACGAGAAAACTGTGCAAGGCAGGAGCTGGGTGTGGAGAAGGGCAGTCACCAGAGGATTCCTCTCACCTTCTTCCGGTGTCCGGAGGAGACTTTTGGCTGGAAAGCAGTTGTTGAGGTAAGGCTTGCCATTGTCCATTTTGTACATCCCTGAAGACACCATCTCCCTGAGAGACAGCAAGGACAGCCAGGAGTCAGAAGAGTGAAAAGGTACAGGGGAGCCCTCCCCAGTGCCATTCCTGAGCCACCAAGACCTCTGAGGACCCCTCTGCTTCAGCAATGGGGCTGCCGTGAACAGAGCAGGGAGGCAGGAGTGGGGCTTTCTGGTTCAAACCAGTCCTAACTCAGCAGGACACTAAGTTAGGCTCACACAGACCTGGTTTGAATTTCGGCTTTGACCTTCCTTGCTGTGTGACTAAGTGTGTTCCTCTACTCCTGAGTCCCACTGTCTTTGCCTATGGGACAACGCTCCCACCTTAACAGGAATGGGTGGACTGAATGAAGGGGGCTGCTGTTTTTGTTCTAACAGAGTTCAGAGAAAGGGGCTTACATGATTAACAGACCAAGTTTGGACTAGATAAATCTGGTCTGAGGGGTAAACCGAATTTACTGACGGAAACGGGGGGGGGGGGGGGGGATCAACAGTGATGTAGCAAGAATAATAAAAATCCAGAAACGGACATTGGGCTTTGAGCTGAAGATCAGAGAAGCAAAGCAGCAGCCAAGTCACTAGAGAGCTCTTACCTCTACCCAATCTTCAGACTGAAAAGAGAGCATGTTCCCGTCTCATCCCACCTCATACTCCTCTCTCGTACCAGTATTAAAGGTATGACCCACCACTGCCCGGCCTCTATGGCTAACTAGTGTGGCTGCTGGGATTAAAGGTCTGTGCCACCACTGACTGGTCATACTTTGTTAGATCATAAACAAACTATCACTATTCCGTTCAAACAGAAAGAGCCACAGGAGCAAGGGCATCATGAGGAGGGAATGGTCGGGACCCACGGGACCCACGAAGAAAAAGGCTATGCATTTGGAACTCTTTGATACAGTAAGGTTCAACAGGAAAATAGTGCCTGCTTCTGAAGGGTGTTTGCTGAGGAGCAGGGAGACCGTGGTTTCACACTTTGTCCTGGGCATTCAGGGACTGGGAGACAGAGTCAACAATTGGGCTTAACACAAACCATGCCTGAGTTGCGCTTGGGAAAGGGAGGCCAGACAAAACCGTCCGGTGAATGAGCCTGGCAATGGGGAACACTGGTAGGGAGCACTGTATCAAAGTAGTGGAACCAAACAAAGATAAAGATAAACGCAGAAGGATCAGAAACCCATTGCCATTGTTCTTGAGTTCTCAGTAGTCCTCATTGTCCGCTATGTTCAGAGAGTCCGGTTTTATCCCAGGCTTTTCCAGACCCAGGCCAGCTGGCCTTGGTGAGTTCCCAGTAGAACATCCCCATTGTCTCAGTGTGTGGGTGCACCCCTTGCGGTCCTGGCTTTGTGGGAGCCTAGGCAGTTTGGATGCTCAACTTACTAGACCTGGATGGAGGTGGGGGTTCCTTGGACTTCCCACAGAACAGGGAACCCTGATTGCTTTTCGGACTGGGGGGGGGGGGGACTTAATTGGGGGAGGGGGAGGGAAATGGGAGGCGGTGGCAGGGAAGAGACAGAAATCTTTAATAAATAAATAAATTTAAAAAAAAAAGATAAACGCAGAAGGCAGGGGAGAAAAGGAGGGAAGGCGAAACACAGAAACAAAAACCAGAAACAGAAACAAGACCAGAAACCAACTGTAGAGAGGTAAACAGGAAGGTGGAGGAGGCCCAGGGAGCTGTCAGGTAAACCAAGGGACGACAAAGCCCAGGAGAGCATCTGAGAGGAGGAGCTGGGAGGTCAGGGAAGGGGACCATCTCAAACAGGCCTTGAGGAAATAGCAGTCCACTTCCAGGAAAGGGCAGAACTAAGTACTGATGTAGGAAGTGTGGAGAAAGAGAAGCTATGCAAGAGGAAAACACAAGCAGAGTTTCCAAAGACCTCAGCTGCGAAAGGGAGGGCAGAGGCAAGCAGCAGCACAGTCCAGAGAAAGCCGCCAATAGGGCGGGTGCTCGGGAGGGTGCGGTGTGGGGGATGCCAAGGGATGTGCTCTCCGGCTCACAGAGGGCACAGAGGCAATGCTTTTACTCTAGCCCCAGCCTCAGAGGGCAGCCACGACAGAGCATGGACTCTGGATGGTTCAAACGCTTGTGAGAACAATTACCTCATGACTTTGGACACAAGTTATTTAACATTTCACCGTACTGCCTCAGTTTCTCCCTCTGTGAAATGTAGACAGTAAGTGGACCTCGTCTATGGAACCGTCTGGATGACCAAATGAGAAAACGCTTGTGGATGGGCTTAGGGGTGTAACCAGCACCTGGCTAGCATACATTGGTCATTTTCTAACAGGACGAGAAAGGCTCAGCTATGTTATCACCAGGAGGGCAGAACAGGTTAGAGGAGGAGAGAACGAGAAAGAAGGGCAGCCTTACCCTCTCTGGGAGTGATCAGCAGGAAGAGACAGGCCAGGAAGGCTCCCTGGGACAGCTGTGATAGGAAGACATTTCATATAGCCTGATTGGCTCATTTCTTACCACCCAAGGAATAAGAAGAACACAAGGGAAATAACCTTTCACTTCCTGTTGGCTCTATATGTATGTATGTGCATGTATACAGATAGAAATGTATGTACATGCATGTATACCGACAGAAATTGGGAAGTGAATATAGTTCTGCCTCCAGGGTCTGACTTGGGCTTTTTTAAAAAATCAACTTGTTACTGTCTTCAGAATAATTCCTCAAAAGAGGGACTGTCCCTGATTACAGTTAAGTTTATCACCTGTCACTCAGGAAACAGGAAGTTAAAGAGCTTGCAGCCTTCAGGGAAGATAAAGATGAGCTGAAGGCAGTAGAGTACTTGCCCAGCATGAGCTCGATCCTTAGCAACACACACACACACACACACACACACACACACACACACGAGGGTGTTTATCATCTGTATCTTTAAGTCTTTGTCAGAGTCTAAGGTCAAACCTTGCATAAACCTGCATAAGTAGCCAAGCATTGCAAATCCAGGTCTTTACAGGAGCTGGGCAGGCTGTGGGAGTGGAATGGGTGAAGGAAGCTGAACGCCAGAGAGACAAATGTATGTGAGCATACGCGTGCCTGCAGGGGCGGCTCCTACTCAGCCCTCGCCAACTGCTGCCAAGCAGAAATCCCAGTCAGTGTTGCCAGACCTTCCTTGTTTTTATCAAGAGATGAGCAACTCATCTGTCACTTTGAAATGATGTGCAGACCAAACCAAACACATCTGGGAAGACCGTCAACTCCAAGGCTACTGTTAGTTTTTTGTGGTGAAAATCTTTTGGCTTTCATAGGAATAAAGTAATAAATGCTATTCAAAACCAAACCAAACCAGAAAACAACTATTACTTAACTTTGCAAATTCAGTCACAAATGTTTGCTGCTGCCTGGAAATGCACAGCTGGAGACTGCAATGCCACCTGGACCCTGTCCCGGCCCCAGGGCCTTTCTTCTTATCCTACACTGCTTTGGGTCATTTGTTGTGGCAGGATTCCAGCTCGTACTGTCCCAGCAGCCTGCTCCTCGCCTAGACTGGGCCCCTGAGGAAGCACTGGTCCTACTCGTTTCTGTTTGTTTAGCTGCATTTTGTTTTTGCTGTGGGGTGATGGAACCCAGAGCCTCAGACACACTAGGCAGGTGCTCCGCCCTGAACCCAAGGCCAACAAGGCTGCTCTCCAAGGTCCTTGGCATCAGTGCCCTAACCTTTCCAGCCTAGCCAATCCTGGGCCTTCAGCCTTACAGGGCTATATTGTCACCAGTGTTTCCAGTCTCGTGCTTAGAGCTTAGTGTTGCTTCTGCATAATAAATACCCATTTTTACCCTGTCTACCTGGTTGATCTCACCCATTAAAAAATTCAGTTCCGCTCCCCCAACAAAGACCTGAATTTCTTACATTGTAAACTCCTAGAGATTTTTCTTTGACAGACTTCTGTTATCCAAAGCTCTGCTTTGGGGGCAGCCTATCTGAGCCGCCCCAGCTGAGGGAAGGGAGTTCCCTGAAGACTGTGAGGCCGAGGCATCGAGTGTGTGTGAAGAATACATAAAAGACAGGCGAGCTGGGATCAAGGTGTCCTGTGAGAAGGCTTCCTGGCAGTGACAGTGGCAGAGGTGGGGCAGAGGGAGGAGGGCAGTTTGGGAACAAGGAACTTAACTTCGGGTCTAGTTTTTCCTTCAAAGCAGGACAGCTGTGGGCAAGTCATTAAAATGACTCTTTGACTCTCAGTTTTCCTACGTGGGAAATCGAGCTACAAATTCTGTGCCTGGAGAACTGTGTTGAGAACGGAATGAAGCAAAGGACAGATGTGTATAAAGAACGTAGAGAAAGGACGTCTTTCTACCCCCTTTGCACACACCACTCCTCTCACAAAGCCTTTATTGGACTTTCTAGCGGGAGACAATGGTGCTTTCGCTAGACTGAGTTTATTTATTCGCTCCTTAGTGTCCCTTTCATGGTTTCACTGCTTTTAACCTCATACAATTGCTACGGATAATGCAAAGCTCCCCCAAGGGACGATGAGCCTCCAAGTCTGAATCACTCCTAATTCATTGCTTCGCATCCATCCATGGGACCTAGCACATTAGAAGCACCCAAAGGTCATGAGCGAGCCAAACGAAGGCTATGACAGCACTCCTGGGACCCAAGGGTCTCTCTAATTTCCCTTGAGGGAAAGGGCAGTGCGTGTAGTGAATTATCAGTTTATCCTAAAACAGCAAATTCCTTTTTTTTTTTTTTTTTGGTCTTTCGAGACAGGGTTTCTCTGTGGTTTTGGAGCCTGTCCTGGAACTAGCTCTTGTAGACCAGCCTGGTCTCGAACTCACAGAGATCTGCCTGCCTCTGCCTCCCAAGTGCTGGGATTAAAGGCGTGAACCACCACCACCCGGCTAACATAGCAAATTCCATGAGTATCTATGAACCGAGTAAGTGATGCTTGGCTCTCCTTTGGTCTAATGCGTAGCCTGTGTATTCTGATCCCTGAGCTCCCTATAAAGGGATAAAGGCTTTTCTCAGGCGGCCCTCTGGCTTGCCACACTTCTAGAACCACACTCACTACTTTGTTAGTATTTTGCTCCCCTCACCAACTTCCCCGTTACAGGGCCTAAGATTGCCTCACCTAAACAAACCCATTCTCTGGTTTAGTTTCCTTTTGCTTGCTTTTGCCAACTGATACAAACTAGGGTTAGTGTCATCTGGGAAGCATGAACATCAGCTGAGAAAAAGCCGCTGTCAGACTGACCTATGAGAAAGCCTGTGGCATGTTTTATGGATTAATGATTGATGTGGGAAGGCGCAGGTCTCTTGTGTAGGAAATCAAGCGGGTGAGCAGCAGGCCTCTGTGATCTCTGCTTCAGTTCCTGTCCTGCTTAGCCTTGGAAGCTTTGGCTTCCCTCACAGACAAAGGGATCAGGACACGCAAGACAAATAAAGCCCTTTCTCCGCAAGCTGCTTTGTGTCAGTGTTTTCTCAGAGCAACAGAAAGTCAAGCAAAAAAAAAAACAAAAAACAAAAAACAAACCACCCTGACACCTAGGCCTGAGCTAGAACTCTCTACAAAAATCAGCTGCTTTGGTTTTCAGGACACCACTCTGTCAATCTATCAGCTGAAATGAATGAGGGAGCACGTGAGTAAACCGCTATTTAGAAAACACTGGAGACAGCAGCGGTTAGAGAGGGATCTAGCAGTTAGTTCACTGGGCTATTAGGGCCTAGTTCCGTGTCTATACAGTACTTACTTGATCTTTGACCTCGGGAACGAGTCTTTGCTTTCCTTTTGTTTTTGTTTCTTTACCTGCTTCTTTACCTGTAAAAGAGATATTGTAAATGGTCTTAGCCTGTTGTTAAGAAGTCTTGAACCTTAGTAATTATATCCTACATTCTAGATATATGGAGCCTTATGCTCCAATATGTGTCTTGGATGAAGGGTGTGTGTGTGGGGGGGGGGAGGGGATAATAGGATGGAAACAATTCCAAGAAACAGATGGACATGCTATGAAGATAAGACAAATGGGGCTAGAGATGTAGCTCATATGTTCAAGACCCTGGGCTTGATCCTGAGAGTCACGTATGCGCACACACAAAAGACACAGGAACGAAGACATGGGCAGAGAATAAGAGCCACGTTGTTTGCCAGTAAAATGTAGCCGGGTTGCTTAAGCAGGCTACAAAAAGCATAGATGGGAAAGGAAGGGACCGTTTATAAGCTCATTTAAATGAAACACATTTCTGTAGGATAAAAATAGCAAAGACAAAGTTGAGAGATAAGTCCCAGTCTGGGAAAAATAAATGTCATGCATTTAACTCAAATATTAGGCAGCACATAAATAATTATAGAAATTCTAATTCAGCGTGAGAACAAGAGGTGAGAAGGTACGGACTTACAACCAAAGGGACAAGAAAGGGACATCATTCCTAGGTTACATTTTCTAGACTGTAACCCTGATTTTTATGGTAGATAAATGAAAGATGAAGGTCCATACTTGAGGGTTAACTTCAGCTACCTCTGAATTCTCTCTCAAACTTGAAAGCTAATGTCAAGTGACTTTAGCATCCCCTAGGTCTGTCTGTCTCCCTCCTGCACCTGTGTGCCTGCATCACTCTCATTGAGGCACCGGTGTTCCTTACTGGCATGCATTTGCCTACTCCACTCCTTCAGCCTGTCACGTCTGTCTTTCTTTACCTTGATTCATGCAGTCTCCTTTCCTGGAACTCCATATTCCCAGGTGGACCTTTTTAAGGCCCGCTTCATTTCTTTTTAAAGTTTACTTATTTTTAATTTATGTGTACACATATTTTGCCCCCATGTCCATAGAGGACAAAGGAGGGCACTGGATCCCCTGGAACTGGAATTACAGATGACTGTAAGCCTTCATGTGGGTGATGGGAACTGAACTGGAATCCTCTGCAAGAATAGCAAGATGCTGAGCCATCTCTCCAACCCTTGGGCCTATTTCTTTTCTTCTTAGTTTTTTGAAGGTTCTTCTGTCTAGCTGTAGTTGTCTTGGCACTAGCTCTTTAGACCAGGCTGGCCTCGAACTCACAGAGATCCATCTGTCTCTGCCTTCTGAGTATTAATAGAATTAAAGGTGTGTGCCAGCACCTCTCAGCTTAAGCCTATTTTTCTTTTCTGAAAGATTTATTTATTATGCATACAGTGTTCTTTCTGCATGTATCCATGCACACTGGAAGAGGGCACCAGATCTCATTATAGATGGTTGTGAACCACCATGTAGTTGCTGAGAATTGAACTCAGGACCTCTGGAAGAGCAGCCAGTGTTCTTAATCTCTGAGTCATCTCTCCAGCCCCATGGGCCTATTTCTTAAAGGAGGTATTCTATTACAGTGTATTAGAATGGCCTGGTTTCCTGACTGTTCACCACACCAACCTCAGGCTGAAGCCGAGGCCCTCCAAAAAGAGTCTAGTGATCTCATTTCCAGTATCTCAAGCAAGGCGTGGCCTACAGAAGGAGGGTTTGTAATAAATGCTACCCCAACTAAACAGGCATAAACAAAACGCTGCAGGAGTACTTTGTTTTGTCTGCTAGAAAGGAAAAGGCAAGGATCGAGGAGGGTTTCGCAGAACAGGTGACGTTCGAGCTGGGTGCTAAGAAATGAGAAGGTGCAGGAAGGATGAATGGCAACAACAAAAAGCCAAGAGGTATTCGACCACGGTGGCCAGGAATAGCTTAACAAAGGATGAAATCTAGTCTAGTGTTCACTATTTTCATATGAATGTTAGCTTTGCCACGACAGGTTTTGTCTGTTTCAGAGGTATACTCTGAGTGACCAGAACGGGAGGACTGATTACATGCTAAGTAATTCAGAGGCTGGGCCTGGTGGTTTGTGCCTTTAGTTCTCCACTCAGGAGGCAGAGGCACCTAGATCTCTGTGAGTTTGAAGCCAAGCTGTCTACACGGAACCTTACAATGAAACCTTGTCTCAGGAAAACACAATGTCTTATGAATTCAGCATTTGGTCCATAATGTGAATATTTATGGGAAGTATATAGGTATAAAAGCTAAATATGGCATAAAGTAATATTCCTAAGCCTCTAGATTAGCAACCAGATTTATTTTCCTTACATGCCTTATACAGTGTCAAGTTTTATCGATGCTCAATATTTTTTCTTAGTCAATATTTGTAAAATTAGGATGCCAAACTGGAAGCATGCTTTTAATTTAAAAAACTAAAAGCTCTGCTTCAGCTGTGTTCTGACCCATGCTCTCTGCTTTCTGGTAAGTTCATTATTTTGAGATTGACACTGGATAGATGTGAGCGCACGTAGGGCACTGCCTGGCAGATAGTAGGCGCTCAATAAATGGCAGTTCTACTTGAAACGCTACTAACAGCTAAGAGGATAGTCACTTTGGAGAGACTACTCGAGCTAATGCTCTAACAACAGGGATAGAAGAGTGAAGAGCAGGCTCTTCCACGCTTTCGGGGCTAGAAAGACTCTTAACTCAAGCAAACCAAGTTTCCTGCCACACCTGCCTCCGGCGTCGCTTCCGCCTCCGAACCGCCCGCTGAGGCGACGTCCCTGACAGGCGGGAAGCACGCCTGCGAGCCTCACGGGAATCTCGGAGTCGCTCCACGGTGGCGCTTGCCACAGCCTTCCCCACCCACTCCTTGGTAACCGCGACGCTGCGGCTAGCAACGTAGGCAGCAACTGGCGACCGCAGATTCTAACAAGTCCCGTCAAGCCCCGCGGCCACTCTCCGCTCTCGTCAGCCCACGAACTACGGATCCCGATGGGCGCTGCGTAGGCATCACGTGGGCGGTTTCAGCCAATCGGCTTTGGACAAGTCGTAGAGGGAGGGAGACGCGGAAGGGAGACAAGATGGCGGCGGCGGCGTCGCAAGGCGGGAGAAGCGGCGGTGGCGGAGGCGGTAGTGGGGTTGGCGGCGGCCCCAGCTGTGGGACAAGCAGCAGCCGCACTGGTTTGTTGGATAAGGTGAGGATCTGGGGCCTGGAGACAGTGGAGAGCCTTGGGGATGCCCGGGAGGTGCTGAGCACGCCGTCCCATCCCCGCCCCCCTTGTCTGCGGCTTCTTGACTAGCGCTCCTCTGTAGCCCACCACCGCGCTCTTGTCATCTGCCCTCTCAGCGCATTCGCATCTCAGCCTTCTCTTTAGGTCCTCTCTTTTCCGCAAGTGTGCTGGTCCCTAACGCTGGCTGCCACCGCAGCTTTTTAAAGTTATTTATGGCTATATTTCGCCGTAAGGATCCCGTTTCTGTTGTGCTAAGGGGGACACACTCTTGAAAGTGCCCATTTCAACAACGCGGAAAACTGATCTCCCCAAGAACTTAAAAGAATCTACTCGAAGTCGGTGTTCCCCAGACTTCCGCCGTCACCCTCGCGTGTTGCTATAGAGGCCAAACAGTTCCTTGGCCTTTTACTAACTAAAGTTTCTAGGCGGATTTGTTTTTCCCATGATACGTCAAATAATGAACTATTCGTATGTTGGCTTCCCTTGCTAAGCTGACAGAAAGTCTTTTTCCCCCTCTGCGTTCGCTGCCTTTCTCTTTCTTCCTCCGCTTGTCCCTTGTTGTCTGTGCCAGCTAGCTGCTTTTCCACTCTGCCTACCCAGTCATTTTTTTTTAAAACAACAACAACAAAAACCATCTTTATCCATAAGTGCTTAAAGGAAAGGGGTGGGGCTGCTCCTGAATTGACCTTCTTGCCCTTTGCACAGCATCTTGGAAGAAACAGTTATGTGAAAAACAGGCCTAGTATTGGTTCTGCCTCTGGGTATGTGACCTGAAATATGCCTGTTCTCCCCGTGTCTGTTACTCATCTAGAAAAGTGCGGGATTTAGCCAGGGTATATCGTAAGATTCCCAGCTGATGTGATAAGTATGAGCATGCTGCTTTAATATAGTAAACCATTTTTTCTTGAAACATTTTAATTGAAAAGCTTTCTGACTCTTCTGTGCCAAGCAGATTTGTAGTGCCTAAGAAATGAATACCTGATTATGTTGAGGGCTCCGATCCAGGATTTGTGTCTCTTCCCACATAGTAGGCAACTACTCCACCATGGAGCCACTTCCCCAGTTCTGCTTGGTTCTTTTGAGGGTCGTTAGATTCAAATTAAGATAGGGTCTTGCTGTGCAACTAAGCTGGTCTCAAACTCAGACCCTCCTGCTTCTTTCTTCTGACTACTCTCACAGTCTTAATACTTCTTAAGTAGGAATGTGTTCTGAGAATTGGTTGGTATTTTTGTTAAAATTCACCCTTTCTGTTGGGTGTGCAACTCACAGCTTATGCTGAGCCTTCCCAGGGTGACTCTGTCTCCCCTCTGCTTGGATTATCACTAGCAAACATAAACAGACATTCTGCCATGGCAGAGCTTACTACACAGTGCTCTTTGATGTCTGTCAAGGCTTGGGTTCAGGTTTCACTGCAGATTTTTGGTGTCCAAGGATGCTCAAATCATTCATAAAATGGTATAGTATTTGAATATAAGCTACATACCCTCCAGTATACTTTAAATCACCTTTAGATTATTTGAAATACTTGCTGCAAAGTAAATGCTTTGCAGACAGTTGTTATACAGTGACAAAAAAATGTTTGTGAGTTTAGGAATATAAAGGTTTTTCGTTTTTGCTTCTGTTTTTGTTTTTCCCATTGAATACTGTCTATACATTGGTTGGTCCTTGCCTGTGCGATATTGATATAGAGAGCTGACTGTAGTATCTTTGTGTTAGGATAATTTGGCTTTTAAGTATCTCTGCTACTGGAGTAAAGTATGAAGACTGTGAAGTTACTTAACCTTAGAACCTTTTCTTTTCTTCATCTGAAACAAAGAGAGTTATATGGCAGGGTTTGGGGCAGAATCAAGACAGTGTATCTATCAGCCTCTGCACTCTGAAGTTTACTGTGTCGTGATGAAGGGAAGTAGCAAGTTTCTGTTATCAGAGTGCTCAGACTAGCCAAATAGGAAGTGGAATATTCAAAATAAGTATATTTAAGGAAACATGATGCATTCAAAAGGTACTTTTTGCAGAAATTCAAATGAGAGAGGATGGTTCTTAAGATCTGATAGCTAAGAGTTAGAGTCCTGGGGTGAAAGGTGTCATGTCTGAGTAGAGTTCAGACATGATGTTAAGAATGAGAAGAACATATCAGGTAAGAAAGTTTTAAATTGTTTATTGCATTTGATGTATTTCAGGGTGTGTGTGTGTGTGTGTGTTTGGGCATATGGTGTGGAGGTCAGAGAACAATTTTTGAGAATCAGTTTTATCCTGCTGTGAGGGACCCAGGGACCCCATGAGGCTTGGCGGTAAGTATCTTTATCCTTATACAGAATGTGATGGTGCTTGAGATTCTTGTAGGCTTACCAGGAGGGTCTCTAGGTAAACTAGTGATGGTAGAGTTAGACTGGAGAGGGTCACTGAAGTGCGATGGAAAGACTTTTGAGACTATATAAAGTGACTTTAGGAAAATTATTCCCGTAGTTCACAGAATTAGACATAATATGGCCATAGACTAGTGTATAGGACTTAATAGAAAGAAGGACAAGTTTGTGTTCTACAGCCCTTACGTTAGCCGAGAAAAATGCCCCCAGTCTTAGGAAGAGCTGTAGAAGATGCTGCTCAACGTGTCTAGAAAACTGACTGCTGAGGTGGGAAATCTGGACCTGTCCTGAGTGGAGCAGGTCTGTGTGAACAGTGGGGTTTTGTTCTAGGAGTGTTCAAATGAAGATGGTGCCTTTAATATAACCTCTTCAACATGATTTCTCTTCTTGCATTTTCTTTTCTCCCTTTGGGGGAGGAAGGCTTTTATTTCCACACCTGTTGTTTCACTTGCCATGAAGAGATGTGATCAAGGTGTACGAATGTGCTTCTCGATTTCTCAACACAGATGCGAGTTTAAGAGCAAAGCGGCACCTGTTTCCTGTTTCAGAAACAAGTTTGCAGATCTAATCTTCCCCCTCCGGGTCACTGCTCTAAGCTGGTTTGCCCCATGTCTGTCAGTGCCTTTTGAACTATATGGAAGCCATAAGGAATAGCTGCTTTGATGAGTGGTGGTGGCACACGCCTTTAATCCCAGCACTCGGGAGGAAGAAACAGGTAGATTTCCTTGTCTACAAAGTGAGTTCCAGGACAGCCTCCAAAGCTACAGAGAAACTGTCTTGGGGAGCGGGCGAGAATAACTGTTTCCCAATTTGTTTGGGCTATTAAAAGTTGGCCTGCTATTCACTCATTCATTCATTCATGAACTGTTATCCAAACCTGGATTATGACTCGTGGTTGGAGTCTGACATTAGGATACGGCTTCTATACCTTGGTTACTGAGAACGTAGCTCTGGGGCCAGCCTTGCCAGCTCCTAGCTTCCTGCAGTGGAGAATCATAAGTGAAATGAATCTCAAGTGTTCATGAAAGTCATCAAGTGAACTTGTTAGGCGGGTGTAGTCAGAGGCTTCATGTATATAAGAACTTCAGAGAAACCCTGTTGGCTGCTCAGAGACTATTTGCAATTATACCAGACAGTATCTTGAAACTTAACCATCATTTTAGTTTTACAGGATTCCATAGAAAGTACATCGTCCCCATGACTGCTGGAAGTAATTCTAGAAGACAACATCCCCTCTCCCAACAAAGTTTGTCCTTAGGGTTAGAGACATCATTTAGGGGTTGATTTTTAAAATCAACTGGTATAGGGTTGGGAGGTTGGGGTGGAAATTATGTAGGCTCAGGGATCTCTTTGATAAAAAGAGGAGGGGGATTTAAATGGGATAATAGCTTACTCACACTAATAATAATAGTGATTGTGAGCTATTATGTATAGACAATTTACGTTGGTATAGATTCTTTCATATTGATACAAATTCAAATTATATTTGTTATATTGAATACGCTCCTATTTCTGTTTGCAATATCTGTACACCTAGGCAAAGTTATTTTGTCATATTGTATGCCTGCATGTTTCTACCTCTACTTAAGACATTTGTATATTGGTACATTTTAGGATATATTGATCATATTGCACTAAACATTTCTACCTCAAGATACTTTATACATACTTTACATTTTGAGGTCATTGTCCTCATTTGCTGCACAGTTGTTTAAAGATTGTTTAATATAAACTCTTAGTCTTTAAGCTCTACAAATATTAAATATTATAGGTCTGCCTGGCGGTGGTGGCGCACGCCTTTAATCCCAGCACTTGGGAGGCAGAGGCAGGCGGATCTCTGGGAGTTCGAGGCCAGTCTGGTCTACAAGAGCTAGTTCCTGGACCGGCACCAACGCTACAGAGAAACCCTGTCTCGGAAAATCAAAAAAAAAAAATATATTATAGATCTTTGATAATCTATGTTTGTCATGATTATATAACTATAATCATGTTATATTATATAACTAATATATAACTAGTCATATTATATAATCAGTTTCTTTAGAAACATAGGGATTGTATTCCGCATAGATAGGTGATCTTCAACCACTTCAAAGAACTATAGAATATGACATTTAAATAACTTAGGGTTCTGTTGACGTGAGACACGATTGCTCCTGGCAACATCAATCTATATCCATGAGAATGTTGAGCACTGAAAACACTCCACTTGGAGCTGTTTTCTCCTTGGCAAAGCTGGCCTTTGGGCAAGAAACTGCCCGTGCCTCGACCACTGACAAAATTTGCGGTGTCCGGAATGGACAAGCAGGATACGAGAAAAAAGACTGCCAAACCTTGCCAAGACAGGGTAAGATGGTTTTGTTCCTGCCTCTTTGACTATGATCTGTCAGTTACTCTAGGCCTTAGCCAGAGTTGGTTGTTCCAGTGTTCCCAGTGAGACTTTGGGTCATTGGCCAGATAGCCGGTTGTCTC